GAACAAGTCTGCTCACCTTATGGTGGCCAGGAAGCAGAAGAGAGGGGCCAAGGACAAGAAATAATAAGGTTTAGTAAGTACAGCAGACATTTCTTGTGGCAGCACACTCCTGTTGTGATATTTTGTTTGTGTTCTGACAAATAAAGCTTGCCTGGAGATCAGAAGGCAGAGCTAGCCACTAGATAACCATAGAGGTCTGGAGGTCTGAACAGAGATAGGAAGTGACAACAAAGGGCAGAGACAGGAAGTGATAAGTTGGAGCATAGACAGGATCTTTGCCTTTTGAGTCTGAGGATGTCAGAAAGGTAAAAATTGATTGTGGAGTGTCAGAGGAAGGCCCGCACCTCAAGTTCAGGAGGAGTGTCAGAGGGAGACCTGAGACACAACCCAAGAGCAGCATCAGGGTCCTGGGAGCAGCGTCAGAGGTAGGCCCAAGCAACTGGCTCAGAAGCAGTGTCAGAGGGAAGCCTGATGTGGGATAATATTCTTGTTCACTGATTGGTCAGCAGCCAGACAGGAAATATAGGCAAGGATAGCAGATTAGAGAATTCTGGGAAGAGGAAAGGAGAGATGCAGCTGCCAGCCAGATGCAGAGGAAGCAAGATGAGAATGCCTTACTGAGAAAAGGTACTAAGCCATGTGGCTAAACATAATTAAGAATTATGGGTTAAGTTGTAAGAGCTTGTTAGTAATAAGCCTGAGCAATAGGCCAAACAGTTTATAATTAATATAAGCCTCTGTGTATTTATTTGGGAATGAATGGTTATAGGACTGGGCAGGGCAGAAACTTCCATCTACCCAGGCCAGGAGCAGCAAGTGACCACTGGGTGAGACTACAGCGGTGGCTTCCAGAAGCTATCGCAAGAAGTTCCTCTGGAAAAGAGCACCTGTGTCCCAGCCAGCATCCACTACCATTTCTTGATTGGACATACCCCACTGCTACAGGAACCCCTGGACACTCAGTCCCACCTACACCGGAGTCGTGGTCTGCCTCCAACATGAGAAGCATCCTCCGGAGCTGTAGCCCCACCTACACCTCTGGAGCAACCACCTGAGCCTTGGGTCCATTTCCATGAGGAGGAGCGATCACTGAAAGCTCTGTTCTGCATGAACCTGAAGGAGCAGTCAATGGAGCCACATCCCCCAACTATGCCAATTGGAGAAAGAGAGACCCTCTGAAGCACAAGCTCCACCTATACCGATTAGAGGAAGAGATGCACAGACAGCAAAATAAGAACACACTCAACAATATAAAGAGCAGTGGCAAGGCAGGACAGAACTCTTTGGACTCTCTGAATCCCTGGGGTGGGGGAGGAGGGAAGTCAGCATTAGTAACAGACAGTTTCCCCTAGTACCTGTCACTGTGCTCCACTTAGTAGGTGCTTGTGTTGAACACTTGAAACAATTTAAAAGAGGGAAAGGCTTCTTTTAGCTCCTGGGTTCAGAGGGTTTGGACCATGGTCATCTGGCTTTTGTTTCTGGGCCTGTGGTTAAGGCAGAGCACCATGGCACGAGCAGAGCTGATTGGCTCTTGGAAGCCAGGAAAGGGGGAGGGGCAGAAAAGAGCCTCTTTAAGGACAAGCTCTAGTGTTCTTTCTCCAACCATACTACACCTCCCAAGTTTTCTATGGCCTCCCAGGGAGGGGGCGGGCTGCAGGCCACACCAGCTGCCACAGCCACGGCTTTATATCTACTTGAAATAGATGGCACGACTATGGAGGAATTGACTACTTAAATGTCAATTGAGTGGTAAAATTCACATGTACTTAGGGTCACCATGTTGGGCAGTGCCAGTTTATAACACAGAAACCCTGATAACCTTGGGACTTTGAGACAGAGAAAATGGGAGACATCACTGAAGCCAGTAGCGGGCTGTGTTTGCCCCAGACCTCCAGATGAAGGTCCAGCGAAAGTCAGTTGCCCTTAGACATTCACATTAAGTAGGCTGCCCCTTGGGAATGAGAGCACATAAGCACAGAGATGCTTTTGGCTCTGGAGGCCTTTCTGCAAGCTGGCCAGGTCTTGAGCAGGAATCCAGTGGAGCTCTGGCTCCTCCTAGTGGCCCCAGTGAGAATTGCCTCCACTTCAATTCCTCCCTTCCCCCTTCCTGGGACTACCCCTTCAGACCAACCAGAACAACTTCACCCAGGAACGGAAATCAGCTAGAAATAGCCAACTCAAAGCCACATCAGAACATAGCAGAAAGGAGCTTAAAGATCATTTCTTCGACACCCTAAACCCAGGTTAATGAGGTGACCGGTATGGTATCTCTCTGGCCTCTCTGCCTTTGGCTCTGACCTGCAGAGTCCACAGATGGGCTAGGAGCATCCCAGCAATAAGAAAAACAGGAGCAGATGGTTCCTGGTCAAGGTCAGGCCTTCCTTCTGCCTCTTTATGACAACCCAGCAATTCCTTAAAATTGCTGATGTAGTGAGTGTTCGGTAAAGAGAGCAAAGCCGCCACCCACCAACTAGCCACACGTACTTTTGGGTCACTAATTGTCGAAAACTATCATTCCCACTTTGCTTGTTCTTAAGGATTTCTGTGATGTAATTCTAGTTTTTGGAAACTCCATTGGGGAAAGAAAGGTAAATTAGTGAGCTCCTGTTGAGAAAATAGTGAAATTAAAACGCTGTGAGTGGTGGTGCATGCCTTTAATTCCAACACTTGGGAGGGAACGGGAAGCCTGTGTCTGTGAGTTCTGGGCTATCCAGGGCTATCTAGTGAGACCCTGTCTCAGAACAGAAACCCCATGTCTCCCCGTGTATGTCAGGGTTAGCACTTAGAAACAAAATGCTTTCTGCTCGATTGACTGACTGTCCATCTGGGGGTGACTACTGACAACATTTGATACTTTATCTAGCACATAGGTAAAGTCCTTCACGTCCAACTTCATTAATTTTTGCCCCCCTCCTCCCATAACTCAGCATGGTATGGAAGTCACTTAACCAAGCCAGTTGGACCAACCATCAGTAGGTTGCACTCTGCTAGGCCTATGTATGCTACGTGTAGCAGACTTTTGTTTAAGGTCAAAAGTTCAAGATTTTAGCTCTGATGAGCTGCTTTCCTGAAAGCATTTAGATAGTACATTGTTGGGCACAAATGAGACTCATGAAGGGATCAGGGAATCAGTCGTAACAAACGCTGGGTGTGAATTATACCATCTCAGCAACTAGGAAGAAGAAATGGCAGGAGCATGGTCTGGGACCCCTGTGTAGTGCGTCTCATTTTTGATGTGAGTGTGGAAGAGTATAGCCCAGTCTCTCAGCCAATAGATACCTCCCCGTGGACACTTGTGGCAGACATCAGAGATGTTAACTTATTACTAGTGTATTGTGAGGGTGGTGCCAGCTTTGTGCCCATGTACATGTGTGTGCCTGTGTGCTCATGCCTGTGCATGTGTTTTCTTTTACTGCCTTCTGCCTTCTTCCCTCTCACTGAACCTGAAACTCAGCATTTTGACTGGGCTGACTGTCCCCATCACTGGGGTTAAGAGCACACATGGCCATGCTTACCTTTTATGTCAGTGTTACGGATTAGAATCAGGGCCTCATGCTTGCACAAGAGCTCTTACCAATTGAGCCATCTCCTCAGCCCAAAGCTTAATATGGAAAACAGACAAAGTTTCACTCATCTCAAAAGAAAAAAAAAAAAGAAGCAAAAATTAATGCCACGGGACTCAATACTATCTGCATGACCCTGGGTGGCTGTGATAGCCACATATAAAGAGACACATATAGGCACCTATGTTTTTTCTCTTCCCCATTCTCAACTAAATTCTTCTGAAGATACAGCTTTTGATCGTACTTAAAACCAGTTTCTCTAAGAATGAAATCGAGTCCCAATCTTTGCCCAATGATGAAGCACTACAGCATGTGAGGCCTTGAATAGGGACTGTGGATTTAATGGAGTTAATATGGCATTGTTAGAGGAAGTGTTACTGTGGGGGTGGGCTTTAAGGTCTCATATATGCACAAGACACTGCCCAGTGAGACAGACTACTTCCTGTTGCCTGCAAGATGTAGGAATATGTTACCTCTCCAGCACCATGACTGCCTGCACACTGCCATGTCTCATCATGATAATGGACTGAACCTCTGAAATGTAAGCAAGCCATCACAATGAAATGTTTTTCCTTTATAAGAGTTGCCATGGTCATGATCTCTTCACAGCAACAGAAACCCTAAGACACCCCCCTTCTACTCCTACTGTGAAAAGTCCCTTGAGAAAGTACCCAACCCTGTTGTAGTTAAGTTGGGTCCAAATGTTCCAGCCAACTGCATGTTTTTGGTTTTTTCACTTCTGTTGAGCTGTTTGCTTACTTTACTTCACTCTGTCAAACAGGATGTAGTTCTGTGTTCTTTGCCTTTAAAAACTCCCTGTAGAATGTATCCAATGGTGTTTGTTTTTCTCTCCAGGCAGTCACCAACTGGGTTAATGCAGTCTCAATTCTGACTTCAGTCACTATGAGTGGCCTTTTTGATCTCTACCCTTCAACAAGGCCAACTTTAGATTTGGGTACATAATAAAACAACTGTTTTCCAAGTGAGCCTTTGGGGATGATCCCCTATTTTACCATCAAATGACTAGAGCATTCAATGTGCATGATTAAAATGCATTTTGGGAACAAGCACACTATAGAAGTGGTTATATAATTTAGTCTGTCAGTCAAAATAGAGAACCACCCAAACTGCATTCTTCCTAATAAACTCCTCCTTAGACTCCATTAAAATGATCACCTGGAGCCCTTGGGTATGTCTCCCATGTGGCCCCTTTCTAATCAGGCTTCTCTTTAAAGTAAGTTTCCTTGATACTTTTAACATGTTTGAGCCTTTTAACAGTTCCTTGAAGAGGCAAGAACCTCAAAACCCAGCCATACTAGAAATCTACTTATAATGGCCTAAAGTTAAGAGTCCCATCTTATGTAAAACCATGACACCAGCAACTTTTAATGTAAAATTTTGTTATTTGGGGGAATAAGAGTTTCATGAAAACACGAATTTGCGCTATCTCATTTTATTAGCTTGGCAATGCAAGTCATTGTAATGAATACATACAGTTTTTAAAAATTGTTGGTTGTGAACATATATGCAGAATCCTTTGAACTTTTCCAACTCTGAAGTGTGATAATGCTATGGAAGAAAAATGGAGCTTCCATTGGCTATGATTCATGATAGTTTTGAGTTTATAAAGGTTTTAGTTCTGGCAAGGAACCACAAATGAAATGAGAGCTGACAGCTGACCCCGTCTCCTAACTGCAGATGAGGAATCCATAGGCCCTGGAGACTACAGAGCTCATGAGACAGAACTGGTCCACCAGTTCTCAGAGGTGCTCTGGAATGTCTGGGACTCCAGTCACATCTGAATGGCCTTGTTTTTTTCTGCTTAATACAGGACTAATAGCTGGAATTCCTTTTATAGTTTCTAACTTGCTCAGTTTCTTTAAAGACAAAACCACACCTACTTTAGCTAGTCACTGGCCGGCAGTCTGCTTATGCTTTCCTCCTGAGGAATCTCAACTTGGACTCTTTCCTGCTCCTTTGTGTTCACAGAAGACCTACATCAAGGCATCTGCTCTGCTAGGAAATTCTTCTGTAGCAGGAAAAGTCAGTTAGTGCAATCTCCAAAGCCCTTGATCTGAGCACAGTCTGATTCTCTGTGTAGCTCATTCTCACTGGTCCCCTGCTCTGTCTATCTGAGCAGTGACTTTGCTTTCTAAGATGATTTGGGGGACATCAAATAGCAGTTAAGAATTCCTAGCCTATTAAAACATTCTGGCTGGAGATGCAGCCCAGAACAACACACTTGCCCAGCATGTGCTAGGCTCCAGGTTCAACACCTCCCCACAACACACAAAAAAAACCCAAGAAATGTGACATATGAGGTACACCACACTTCTGGCAACTTTTAACTTTGTCTCAGCCTAATAGTTGCCTAGAGCTGGACATTACTTACTGGTCAAAAAAACCCAACCTGGTTATATATTTTAATTCAAACCTCCAATGAATGGCTGGCTACTATTTGTTAGTTCTTTTCTTTTTTTTAAAGAATTTTATTTAGATGTATGAGTGTGTGGTCTGCACCTCTATGTCTGTGTACCACATGCATGCCTGGTGTCCACTGAGGTCAGAAGAGGGCATCAGAATCCTGGAACAGGAGTTACAGACAGTTGTGAGCTGCGATGTGAGTGCTAAGAATTGAACAGAAAGCCTCTAGAAGAGGAGAAAGTGCTCTTAACCCATGACCCATCTACTGGCTATTTTTTAATTGCAGGAGCCATACCCCAAACAACCTGCTGGATACCAGTGCATGATGGCGGATGTCCTTCTGTATGCTGTGAATGTATGTCCACAAGTGCACTCTCAAAACTTTATGTATTTACAGCAAAGCTGTGTTTACAAAGAACTTCTCAAATTTCTGCAAAGTAAGTCTACTTCTTGCTACTCTCAGATTGCAGCGAAGGAAGACTAATAGTCCAACTTTACATACTTCTCTTTTTCAAGGGAAGTATCACTCAGCAGGAGTGGGTATCTGATTTGGATCTCCGTTATGTGCAGGCTTATCACGTGTGCCCTCATGGGCTTGTCGAGTCAGCTCACCTTCTGTTGTGGAGGTGTCACTTACTACAACTACGGGTGACACAGCCTGTGATATGTTACAACTACTACCATATGGAGACTCAACCTAACCCCTGTGTGAAATGCAATCCCATCAGTCATTTTAAAAACTAAAGGCCCAGAGACAGAAATACTTGTTCCAACCTGGCAAAATTACTCATGTACTTTCATCTGCCAAGTTGGCAGATTTCACACCTCTCACTGATGCCAGCTTTACTTCTACTGGCTGTGTTTCTTTCTATTCTATCCTAACATAAGGAAGACACAAAGTACCAGAAGCTGTTTCTTTTACCATTTCACTCCAGCTTTTCCTTCCTTAGGCAATAATTGGAAGCTACAGAGAAACCATGGCCTCACAATCCAATACCACAACTGAACTCTGCACGAAGAGTACAACAATGACTAAGAACATGAACCATGTAATCAACCAATACAATCACTGGCTGGCGAAGGAGCCAGAGTGCAGCCCTAAGAAAGGCACAGATTTCCTTAAGTTTCCAACAGAGTAAATGACACAGAAAGGCCTCACCTGAATCATCTTAGCAACTTCATTAAAATGTAATCTTTTAAAATAAAGACCCTCGTGGGCTGGAGAGATGATTCAGAGGTTGGGAACCTGTGGTGCTTTGAAAGGACCCATGTTTGGGTCCTGGCACCCATTTCTGTGGCTCACACTGCTGGACTCCTGCTCCAGATGCGGTGCCTCTGGCCTTCCTGGGCAACTGTACTCATATGCACATACCCCGACACAAATGCACACACACATAATTAAAAATAAAATAACAAATCTTTAAAAAATAAAGAGCCTCGGGACTGAAGTGGACAATGTTGTTTTCAGAAAATGAATTAGTTTTAAGATATTCAAATGATGCAACTGAGAAAAAGAAAAGACATTCCCTTTAAATTCAGATGGACAATTAAGAATCCTTCCAATTCCATGTATACATGAAATCCAGATCTGACATGTCACAGGCTCATTTTTTTTTAATGATTTCAGTGGCTGATGAAGATGCACACCCCTGGAAGCAAGCCACAAGACAGCTGTCCTATGTAGAGCTTGTTAACCCAGCACTTGTTCCATCAACCTGGGCTCATTCCCTAATACTTAGGATTTGGGCTCCTCAGGGCTCCTTCAGCATTTAACTAACTCTTTGTTGGTTGAAGGTGCTGGGACTGTTTCTCCACACATAAACTGATCCTAAAACAGAAGAAGAAATGCTATTAGCCACCATGGTTTCTGTTCCACAAATGCATTAACATCATTTTCACTTAGTTACAAAATCAACTCAGCTACTAGTTTTTTTCACTGCTATATCATTATCATTATCATTATTATTATTATTATATGTTAGCAATAAAAATCAAGATGTAAAATTTAGGGGGAATCCATTTATAATATTGGAAAAATGGCAACAAATTTAAGTCTTAAGATTCATGCACTAAACTAACTGGTGTCCAGGATGAACTGTCCATTGTAAGATTTTAGCAGGGCTCTTGATCTACCCACTAGGCATCAGTAGCTATCCCAGTTGACACAACTGGAGACACATGTGTGTGTATGCATGTACCCCACGTGTGTGGGGGCGCCATGGAGTCAAGAAGAGGGTATCTGATTCTCTATAACTAGAGTTACAAGTGGCTGTGAGCCACCGGTGTGGGCGATGGAAATGGAATTCCAGTCCTTTTCAGAAGCTCTTAGCCACTAAGCCATCTCTCCAGCCCCAATAGCACATAATTTAGTTCAAAGAATTGGTGTCAGCCCAAGAATTAGAATTAAGTGCATGTTGAAGTTCAGTCCTAAATTTATTAATTTAATAAGCAGTGTCTTATAAACATGTCCATCTTGCTAGAGAGAAACCACTTTCCAGAAATAAACATGTCATATCATCTTTTAAGTTTTTGCATTAATCAATATCTGGTCATTCAAATACATAACTTCTTTAAATAAGTAATAATAGGTTTTTGTGTTTCCCAATGCAGACCTATAATAGTAACTACTTTGAAAATGAGGTTCAGTGTCAGATTTTGTTGTTGATATTTTTGTTTTTCATGACAGGGTTTCTCTGTGTAGTCCCAGTCATTCTGGAACTTGCTTTATAGACCAGGCTGGCCTCAAACTCAGAGATCCCACCTGCCTCTGCCTCCTGAGTACTGGGATTAAATGTGTGCGTCACCATGCCTGGGTGTTTTATCCTGGTTTATGCCAGCTACGGTAAGAAGTCTCAAAGTTACTGCACATCCCCTACAGTGATCCCCAAGGAGTCAGGCCCTAGTCTGTCCCTGCTGCTCTTTGTTCCAGAGACCATCTTAATGCAAGAATGAATCATTACATTTCTACATCATTGTCTAAACTTAAGTCTGCCTCTCACAAAGCTCTAGGTTTTGGTACAACCCACCCTGCACTCATTTTAGAGTTCATCCTTAAGACTGTGAAACTCCTTACTTAAGACTCCAAAGCACTAACTGCACTTTGGATGGGGAGTAAAAGCATTGACCCTTTTTCTGTTGTGATCCTTATTGGGTACAAAGGAACATGAATTTAACATAAAACTATAAGATCGAAATTAGGAATTATATCTCAAACAAGATAATGTAGATTATATGCATAAACCTGGCAAGCAATAAAATGGAGTCTTTTCTAAATGTACTGGTGTGCATTAAATACAGAGAAATGTCAAAAGAAAGAACATCAATTAAAATAATCTTCATATTTTCATTCCTGATTAAGTCATTTTCATTACATAACATTTTCATCACAAAACAATTTCTTTGTTGCTCTTTCCAAGGAGAACACAAGTTACATAATTTAAACTTGAACAATATTATTATACACCTACTTACTGACTTTTGTTTTTGTTTTTTTCCAGACAGGGTTCCTCTGTGTAACAGCTCTGACTGTCCTGGAACTCACTCTGTAGACCAGGCTGGCCTTGAGCTCACAAAGATCTGCATGCCTCTGCCTCCAGGTCATTGCTGGGATTAAAGGCGTGCAACACCATTGCCCAGCCCTTCCTAGCAATTTTTAAAGCTTTCTAAAAATAGCCCTTGATCTAGCACAAGGTTAAGAAACTCTCTTCTAGGACAGGCGTGGTGGCACACACCTTTAATCCCAGCACTCGAATGCAAAGGCAGGAGGATCTCTGTGAGTTCAAAGCCAGCCTCGGTTACCTAAAGACCCTGTCTCAAAAAAAGAACTAACCCCCCCAACCCAAAATTCCAACACTCTTCTGAACTTTTATATCAGACAGGCTGCTTTAGGTCTCTGTCTATCTCACACTACCCACTCCCTTTAATGAATCCCTTACTTTGTCATAAATCACTTTTATAATGAGAGAGCAGCTAGGACACGTTGCCACATCTTCTCCATTCTCCAAATCTTCCTAAGACAAAAATCAAACAGGGTATGGTCAGCATAGCCTCCATTTCGGCATCTTCCCACAAACCGCTCCCACGTCTATGTGCAAGTCTTGGACTGGGTAATAGCACAAAGAATTTTCCCCCAAGAGTCACCTAGGAAAACAACCAGGGAGAACAGGTTGGCTCGATCGCCTCCAAATCCCTTCTCCAAAGAAGTTCCCAGAAAAATACTTCATGGGTGGGGCTAGGGAGAACTGCACCCTTGTCCAGACCGTGTACCCCTGACAGCTTGTTACTGCTTTGGGGGCGGGGGTTTAGAGGAACACGTGGGTGACGGAGCCTTGCCAGGGGCACAGGAAGCGAAAATGCGCAAGCTCAAGAGTCGCCGGCGGGCCCCAAGAATACCTTGGTGATGGAGAAGTTATCCCCACAGGGGCAGGGGTAGAAATATGTCTCCGAGTCCTCGTCATATTGAAAGTCCTCGATCTCCACCTCGTCGTGAAACACCGCCATGGTCACCGGGTCGACACTGCATCAGTTTGCCTAACCGTGTCAGAGCAGGGAAGGCCTGGGCTTCCTGGCCCACACAGGAACAGGAACAAACACTTCCGGGAGGGCGCATAGGCGATGACGTCACTCTGACTGCGGCAGCCAAATGGGTGACCGGGTTGCGGTCGCCATGGAGATAGCCGAGCTCTAGGACTTACGGCCGGAAAGGTGGTGCTTCTTGCGCAGCGCCCCGCCCACTGGGTGGCAATGACCAATAGTATGAGGGCTCGCTCACACTGCTGCTACGTCACTCCGGGGCCCGGGGAGTTTGGGCCTGGATTGCAAAAGAGTGGTTTCCTTCGCCGGTGGTGTCTCGTTCTCCATCGCTGACTTCAGAGACCCTTTAAGGAGTTGGCTGGAGGTCACCGCCCTTATCAGAGGGGGACGCCTGGTCACAGAGGCTCAGGGATCCACGCAGTGTCCTCTCCAGCCCTCCGCGGTGGCAGACACCCAGCGCTCCTGGAATTGCATTTCAGGCGACCTTGAACTCAAGAGTGACGCCTGGGTATTTAAGTTCCTGCCTGCAGGTACAGTGCTGCCTGTCTCACCCCAGCCACCCTCAGATTCCCTGACCTGTGTTGTGGAGGACCAAGATCTGTAAGACAGGGACAAGTTCTAGCCTTGTTTTCATTATTCACTACAATAGGTGCAATAGCAGTAATAGGTGCAATAGCAGTAATAACATCACTGTTAATTATTGGAGTTTTTAGTGGGCCACCTGTGCACTAAATGTAATTCTGTTGGTCCTGGGGTTCAAAGCTCCATTTTATTTATTTTTAACTCAGATTCAGAGACTGGGCATCTTGTCCAAGACTACATACCTAGTCATAATTAAGGGCCTGGCTTTCTCCAAAGCCCAGGAGTAAATTATTTATGTGAACTTTAGTTCTTGGTAAAAGGAATGATATTCCTGTTGGTATTGTTAGCATTCAGTCACTTCCTTGAAGCTAGAAACGAAATGCTTTGGCCTGAAAGCAGTGCTGGGCCTGTTTTGGTTACAACCAGGGACTTTGGAGCATTGCTGTATTACTAGGCAGTTACTCAGATCTCACTGGAGGAGTGCAGTGTAGTGAAAAACCACTGTGGCAGAACAGATCCTGGATCAAGAGTCTGACTTGATGGCTCTGGGAGTTGGAAATTTACATTCTTTGGTTCCTGCTTCCTTTCTGTGAAAATATCCTTTGAAGTCTAACACTCTTTTGCGGGGGAGTTTAATTTTAATAGCTCAGCAACCTTGTGTAGCTTATGTAGTTTATATTTCTGTAACTTCTACTTAATGGTTAAGCAATACAGTTTTTGTAAGTTACCAATTTTGTATACATTGAGAGGCTACTACATTTTGAAGCCCTTTAAACTGTGAAAATGTAAAGGTGGAGAAGTCTTTGGGGGTGCGTAAAATCCAGAAGTTATATTAAACAAGTGTATGGAAGGTTGTTTCAAACATTTCACTTTCTTTTTTGCATAATTGGAGATGTACACAGCAATTAGGAGATACTTGTAGTCTGTTGATGGTTAACTGTAGCCTGCCTGGGCAAAGGAGGAACCCTGTGGAAGTCTTCTATCTTTATAAATACAAATACTTCCCAGGTAGCCTCTGGGACACAGGAAGTAAACTGATTTTCCAGTGTCTATTTTTGGTTCAGATAATCAATTGGAAATCATCTTTAGTTCTTACGAGCCATCCATGAATGTGCAGAAATGGATGCAGTTGTGGGTAGGGATATGGTCTGTGTGAGTCAAGTATATGGATCTGTAGCTCCAGCACTGATGGGAGCAAGAGCACGGACATGGAGACAGGTGGATCCCTGGAACACAGTGGTCAACCAGCCAGTGAAGTCCAGGTTCAGGCAGAGACTATCTCAAGAAATACAGTGGAGAATGAAGAAGGCACAACCTCAACCTCTGCCTTGAACTCACACATATACACACATAGAACACACACAATTGGATTCATCTATATTTGACTCATAGTATGTATAAATTGTTTGTTTGCTTAACAAAGGCTGGAGAGATGGTTCATCGGTTAAGAGCACCAGCTGCTCTTTCTGAGGACCCAGGTTAAATCCCCAGCCCCTACATTGCAGTTTATAACTGCCTATAACTCCAGTTTCAGGGCATCCAACACCCTTTTCTGGCCTCTGAGGGCACCAAGAATGGTGTACACAGATAGATGTAAATGCAGCGGAAACACCCATACACATAAAAACAGAAATAATAATAAAATGGGGTTGGACAGTTGGCACAAAGGTTAATAGCACTTGTTGCTCTGCTAGAGGACCTATGTTTGATTCAATTCTCAGCATCTATATGGAGGCTCACAACTGTCTGTAACTCCAAATCCAGGGAATCCAACCTCCTCTTCTGACTCCCGTAAGTACCAGGTACACACATGGAGCACAGACAGACATATAGGCAAACACTGATACACATAAAATAACAAAATGGAAAAAGATTTAAATAATAAAATGAAATTTTAAAACATTTTAATGATACTGGGACTCCAACCATAGGTCTTATGCATGCTAGATACATGCTTTACTGGCTTAGGTACACCCCAAGTCATGATCTTTTAGAAAGCAGTTCCGACCCATCAAAAACAATTTTCTGGGCCATCTTAAAAGTTACAGGAGTGTCTTAGGGTTTTATTGCTGTGAAGAGACATCATGACCATGGCAACTCTTATAAAGGAAAACATTTAGTCAGGGCTGGCTTACAGTTCAGAGATTTAGCCTGTTATCATCATGACAAGTAGGATGGTGGCATGCAGGCAGACATGGTGCTGGAGAAAGAGCTGAGAGTACTGTATCTTGATCTAGAGGCAGCAGAAGAAGACTGAACCATACTGGGTATAGCTTGAGCATATAAGACCTCTAAGTCTGCCCCCACAGTGATACATTTCCTCCAACAAGGCCATGCCTCCTAATAGTGCTACTCCCTATGGACCAAGTATTAATGAGTCTATGGGGCCATTCCTGTTCAAAACACCACAAAGGGCCAGCCAACTTTTCTTTGTAATTTCTCAACCAAACATTTGCATGTATATTATTTAAAATAGAAAAAGAAAAAGTAATGAGCCATTTATTTATGGTAGTTGACACTGTTCCCGATGCAGTTATATTGTGTCATTAGAATAACACAGTGGGGTACTGCAGATGGGTATGTCCTCAGCTTTGGGAAACGGGGAGGTTTGGAGGCTAAAGAGTTTGCTAAGGCAAAACTGAAAAGTCATGGTGTCAACTTGGATCCTTCTGATCCTAGAACCAGAGTCTTAATGAATGACTCTGCTCTGTATGATCCAGTTCAGGTGGAATGAGAGGAAACCAGCAGGGATGTTCCTACACCAAGTTGTAGGGCCCCAATTCCCAACCATTTTCTATACTGTCCCCTTCTACCTCTGGCTACTGTTGTACCAGAATCTTAGACTAGTCTTGACTTCCTGCTTCAACCTGGGAAATCATTTAAACATCTAAAAGAAATCATGTCATTGTTCTGATTTAGTCATGTTCTGCAGTTGTATTTTGTGCCCTTCAGGTAAGGTCTGTACCTTTACATTGGCCTACTGTGACCCAGGACACATGTACCTAGACAGCTTCCTGTCATTCTCACCCAGCCTGTTCTCCAGTTACAATGGCCCTGGCTCTTCCAACTCCCCCGGTTCGTTCCTTGCTTGGGCTTTGTTCTTGCCGAAATCTCTGCTGCAGTGTTTTCACCTTCATGTCTGCCGGACTGCTTCTTGGTCTCTGCTCTTAGCTCAGTGATCATCACCCTGTGACGCCACTAATATCCTCCCCGCCACACAATCACTCCTTTTTCTGTCATACTCAATCCCTGTAAACATCCTGTTAATTATAGTCAGGACCCATCTCTTGCTCAGCCTCAGGCTTGGCAGCAGGTGCCTTTACCCACTAAACCAGCTTGCCAGGCTGTTTTATTATTTTAAATAAATTTTCTCTGTCTCTGTCGCTCTCTCTCTCTCCCCTCTCCCCCTCTCTCTCCCCCTCCTTTTCCCTCTTCCTCTCCCCCATTCCCATGTCCCGTGCGCCCCCCCCCCCCCCCCCCCGTCTCTTTCTTTCTCACATAAACACAGTTAGTTTAAGGACTGGAATAAAACTTGGAAGGCAAATTGAACACAATTTTACAAAAATGCCTTTATTTGCATTATTAGTCTTGGTACTGTTAACAAAATTCAGTCTTTTGAAAAAGAACAGCTTTTAAAAATTAGCTTTCTTATTTTCCAGTTGAGTAGATTATTTTAAACAGCATAGTCACTAAAGGTGCACTGTATTGTAAAAACACTTATTTTAGTAGTTGTTGTCCAAAATATTAAGTGGAACAATGTCCACCTTTCACTGGAGGATGAACTTAATAATAGGGAATTTGGCCCTAACTGTCATATAACTATCTTTCTCACTATTGCCTGGGTTTTGCTTTCTTTAGCACAGCACCAGCTCAAACTGGGTAGAACCATAAGGGGAACTACCTGAGGCCAGACAGGAAGGACAGCCACAGACAGTAGGATGCAACAGTGTGGGGGTATTTCATAGGATGGGTAACCTAAGTTGCAGGAGTTGACTCAGGTCATGGGAGATCAAGAAGCAGAAGATGAAGGATAGATAGACCACATAATTAATGTGGAAGGATTAATGGCAGGGATTGCAATGAGGGTCCTCCCTTCAGTCTGGTGCTGGAGCTCAAACCCAGGCCTGTGTGTGTGCCAAATGAGCACTCTACCACTGGGCTTCACACTTTTAACTCTAAACGAGCCTTTCTTCTGCAAGCTAGACTTGATGGGCTTTTTCTGTTTTCTTTCTTTGTACTTAACCAGTTCATTGTCTTTGCCGTTGTAGGAACTTTGTGGGAATTTCAGTATATGGAAATTCTGTGTTGCAGCTGATGTGAATCCAGAGGTCTCAGTATAGTACTGGGACCAAACTACTGTGTCAGCCAGCTGAGGACTCCAGAATCCCATGGGTTTCTAAAGTAAGTTCTGCTTGCTTGCTTTCAGTGACTAACATTGTGTTTTTGGCTCAGCAGTCTGTCATGAGATAGCAGAGGCTTTACTGTTAGATTTTTGTTTAAATTAAAAATAAGGAGGTGCAAGATGAGACATGAGACTATTAGACATATTAAGCAGTTTATTATAGGCCCTGCAGAGTAGAGAGACTAAGAGAGAAGAGAAACAGGGTTAATGGCTGACCGCCATGGCTGGTCACCATAGAGAGGCAGAGAGAGCATAAAGAGACAGAAGAGTAGAGAAATTAAGTGGGCAGGGGTCTGTCTTTTAAAGGGGTCCTCTGCACCTGCGTGCAGACTTAGTTCCCATGGAACCCTGGGCTGAACAGGGTACTGCCTGTTTTGCCAGGTAACAGGGACAGGCCAGCATAATGCCTGAAACTTTCATTTACACCTCTTCCACTTACTTGGGGGGGGGGGAGATAGCCAATAGCATGTTTATTCTTAACTCTGCTGAACTGTACTGTGACAAGAAGAAATCCATCTATCTGAAGACTACTTAGGGGGGTGTGGCTTTTGAGAAACTCTGATTTATGTCACCACCTGATGTATGAATTTATTTAGTTTTATCTCTACCTATTAGAACCTAAGCTCTCTGAAGCTTTCTTCAAACTTGCACTGCGTAGGCAAGTGCCTGCTTCACTTGGCCCTTAATAGTTTCCACTGAATGAGAACTAAAAACTTCACTATTGGCTTGAATATTTTCCTAACACTAAACTTACTACAGTCAATTTATATAGTGCCTTTGAAAATGCTTGGGAAAGACATGTTTTATTCACATTTTATTCTCAAAGCCACTACAAGAGAACCCACCAATGTGGTAATAAAGCATGGAAAATGTGGGTGTTTTAGGCTAAGAAGTCTTTTTTTAAATGGCACAAGAAAGTGGTATGGGAGCCAAACAGTAGATGACCTGACTCCTAATCAGTGTTCCACCTAATCGTCTTGTGATTTTAAATCATAAAAAAAAAGTAAAGCGTTGAGAATCGTTCTGTTTTTGTTTTTATCAAAGTTTAACATACAGATAGAAACTATCCAGCTACAAGCACAGCTTGAAGATTTTACAAATGGACCTTCTAAGTCACTCAGCATCCATATAAAGAAACTGAATTGTTAACAGCCACTTTCCAAGACTGGCTTCTAACATTATAGGTTATTTTTCTCTATCTTGGCACCCTGTATAGTTGATATCAAAGAATATGTGCTCTTTGGAGTCTAGCTGCTTTCATGCCATTTGATACCTGCAGCCTATAGTTGAATATTACTACATGTAAGTGAACTGTATTCTTTGTTATTGTTGTTATGTATGTATGAATGTATGAATGTGTCGCACTTCATTTAGTGTTATTTGTGGTCTTTTGGATAGTTGCTAGTTTGATCTGTTGTAAATAATGTTATCTCTTTGTTTTAAATATTTAGGAACCTTAAGCTTTTATAAATACAATTCTTAAAGGAGACTTATTTTGGTTTTAAGTATATGCTGTGTGTGTGTGTGTGTGTGTGTGTGTGTGTGTGTGTGTGAGTGTGGAAGCCAGAGGAGTTGGATTCCTAGTGCTAGAGTTACAGGTAGATGTGAGCCACCTGATGTAGTTGCTGGGAATTGGATTTTCTAGAAGAGTAATATGTGCTCTTTGTTTTGTTTTGTTTCGAAACAGGTCTGTGTAACCCTGACTGTCCTGGAACTCAATGTGTAGATCAGGCTGGCCTCAAACTTACAGAGTACTAGGACTAAAGGAATGTGCTGCCTACCATACTCAGCCCAAATCCTTAAGCAATTTTCTTTAAATTTTTCATTGTATTTCTTTCAGTCTTTATGGGAAGACACGAGGGTACACATAGAAATCAAAGGACAACTTGTGGGAATTGATTTTCTTCCTTCTACTGTGTGGTTATGTGCATGGGTGTTTTGCCTGTCTGGATGTCTGTGCACCATGTGTTCGTACCTGCAAAGGTCAGAAGAGGGCATCGAATACCCTGGAACTGGAGTTACAGATGGTTGTGACTTGCCATATTGGCATTAGGAATTGACTCAGGTCCTCTGAAAGAATAGCCAGTGCTCTTAACCACTGAACCACAGTCTTTTGCACCTGCCCCAGCATAGTCTGGCATTCCTCTGCTTTCTCTGAAAATCATTTTAAATTTCAGTTACATTTGCCCAGGAGCACCATGGCCCATGCTGTCTTTATTCCTGGGTTGTCTCGGGGTACTGCTTTGTGGAGATTGACAGCCAGCACTTTGCGTCACCTCACTCTAACCAGGTGAGTTGTCAGCCTTTGCTGTCATTTGGGTTGATTCTTGAAACCTGATCTGCTGATGGTTTGGGAGGTCCTTCAAGAGAGGCAGCATCCTGGCTCCAATGTGCATGCCATCAAATCAAAAACTCCGTTGGGTGTGCGACTTAGCACTGGCAGAGTTTCAGTATTTTGTAGAATTCACAATTAATCGTATTTTTGATAGCCATGGTTTTTGGTTTTGTTTTCATTTTTTGGCAGGGGAAGGTAGTTTTTATTATTATATGAGGATAATATTTACTAATCTAATTTTACCTTCTTTTAAAAAGCATAATGAAATCCAAAAGAAAAACTGATCACTTGGAGAGAACTGCAAGTGCCCTCCGACGGGAGGTCTGTATCTTTGGGGAACGGTGGAACAGTCAGGGAGACTTTATCTTCCTGTTCTGGAATTTCCTAAGCAGAGGATATGATAACTAACTTGAGCAGTATCAAGGTTTTCCACTAACTTTGGTATGAATGGGCTGTTTAGGGAGGGAGCGCAGCTGTGACTAGCGCCCTCCTTACAGGTACACAGAGGACATGCTGTAGGAGAGGGAACTCCTCACAAGTACACTAAGGGCTGTAGGAGAGGGAACTTATCACAGATACACTGAGACTTGCTGTAGGAAAGGGAAATTGTAGAGCCTGGACCTTATGAATGGCTTACCCTTTTTTCTTTTTTTGCCATCATGTCTCAAAGTCCTTGTTTGTCCTGCTTTAGAAACACCTCCTAGCTCGTCAGAGCAGCACTGACAGCTGAGACAGGAAGGTGGACAAGCTCCCTGCCCTTCCCCTGCAGACTGTCAATCATGCGCAGGCTATAGAAAGCTAAGCTGCCAGCTGAAGGGTGCCAAGGACTGGGAGATAGAGGATTCTCACCATTTCACCTCAGTGAGTAGCCCTGCTTCCACTTTTAAACACACAGTGGATACTTGCCTTTTCTTCTGAGTTGTTTCACACTTATTCAGCTGTACTTAGTTTTGTGTTGTAAGTCTTTGTAAGCCAAGAAAAAAACCCTGTTTTTATGCACTTCTACAACTGTGATCAGAAACGGTATTGTCTCCATAGTTTTCTGTTTTAATACCAGGAGACACTGAACATAAAGGAATGTTAGGCCCTACTTTGAAAACTTAGTTCTCCTTTAGAGAATTGCTTGGGGCTAAAGGTGATGGTTGTTCCACTCTGTGTTGATTGCTGTCTTTTTGAGATGGAAAACTAGTTCAGCAGAGTAAGTTTATAGGCATACAGGAAACTATACTTTTCCCATTTATAAGTCTGAAAATATTTTTCAACACACAAAACAAATTGCTAATTGTGTAAATATGAAGCTTGCTAATGATTTCTTCATGAAAATGAACTCCTGCTGGTTGTAAAGAAAAAATGTTTCTATTGCAAACTTGTATGTACTTTTTTTGCGGTATGTGGAGGTGGGCAGATAAAATTAGAGCTGCTGTTGGAAATCTTTGTTCGAAGGTCCAGGTAGTAAGCAATTTCATCTCCAAACAGCATCTTTCAGGAGGGACACAGCCATGGAAGGATGTAAGCAAATCAGGTTTGCTGTGTCCATTCAAATGTGACTCACCAAAATGCTGAGGTTTGGCCCATAGGTAACAGTTCCAGTGTTTGAATTAGAGTCACCATTTCAGGATCTCATGGGGCAGAAGTAGTGGGACTTTGGGGGAGGTTCCTTTGATCCTAGTTTAGGACAAAGAAAGGTTAATGTCAGCTCTGATTATGCAATTGAAAGCATAGCATCTAGGGGCTGGAAGGATGGCTCAGCAGTTAAGAGCACTTGACTGCTCTTTCAGGTGTCCTGAGTTCAATTCCCAGCAACCACATGGTAGCTCACAACCATCTGTAATGGGATGAGATTTCTTTTTCTAGTATGCATGAAGTCAGAGCACTCAAATATGTAAAATACATGAATAAATAAATCTTTAAAAAAAGAAAGCATCTTATGCCTAGGAGTTAGAAAATTATAAGGTTGCAATTATGATAGCAGTGCTATCTTTAGGGGAAGAAAATGCTTCATTTTCAATTCCCCCTTTTTATTTCTAACTTTTAATCTCTCAAACAGGATGAGAAGTGGGATTAGATGGGAGGGACTAGAGAAACTACATGATCTCTGGGGCCAGCAAATCAACAGTGTGTAGCATCAGGGATCACCCAGTCCCTTCCAGTGGATCCTCCCAGCCATAGAGCGGGGGCTTGACCTTGAACTTAGAATGAACAGATCCTCATGCTGAGGTGTAGCAGAACCGGACCAGTTAGTTCCTCGTGGTCTCACCTTCCGATCTTTAGTTTATAGAACAAGTACGGTATACATGCACATCTCCAGAAGTGATATCTCAGTAGTGGAAAGAAGCTGGTATTGCAGGGCATCCCAGTTCTAGACACCGCGCTCAGATGCCTGGAATTGGGCAAGTTTGTGGTGGACTCTACATACAAGAGACTTTACTAATGGGGACAGTGTTGTCAGATGGTTAAGTGCTAAGGCGATCTGGGTTTCAATCCCAGTCTAGCAGTTCTTAGACAGTGGTTTTGAACTAATACAGAAACTTACTTTTTTTTTTTTTTAACCAGCAAGAGGAAGAATAACATTGTCTCCAGATATTATTGATATCAATGGAATGAATTAATGAATTAATGCACTTAAAACATTGAACTCAGCTAGTATGTACTGGAAGGATAGTTCCTTAGGCATTGGCCATCCTTACCCACAGGGCGTGTAGTTGTATGCTTGTGAGGAGCAGACAAGAAAGAGTGGACAAGAGGGTGAGGGCCTCCGGCAGGGAATGCTTGCATTGAGGAAGCCGGAGCAGGCTTAGTGAACAAAGAGCACCAGGTGAGAGCACAGGAGGGGCCTAAAGAAAAGAGGTCCATGTCAGCTCTCCCCATACTTCAGGGTGGAACTGACCAAATTCAGGCTGGGATGGTGGTGTGTGTACCTGGGGAGCTCTGTCACTGGTGCTGGACCCTGAATGTGATTTTCAGGACATCTACCAGCCTGGGAAGGACTAGTTGCGGGAACTAGAAGCTAAGTTACCTGTGGTTCAGAAGAACAACAAGGACAGGGAGATTTCGTAGGCTGAGGAAGCTCATTGTCCCAGTAGAGGAAGGTTTGGAAGGCAAGGTTTCTCAATACTTTACAGACTTTCCAGTTTATACCCATAAAATAAGTGATAGGTTAGGAAGGACATACGGTTCCAGTCCACCACACTGTACAGGTCCTTGTCGCCCATGTCTGCAGTTCCCTTGGGGATGTGCAGTGCAGCGGCATATATGACAACAAATGGATAAAGTGCAATATATGATGTAAAATAATGCAATAAGGAGGTAACAAGCAATACACACTTTCTGTGGGCCAGCACCATTAGAAGTGCTTTTGTTTGTATTATCTACTTTAGTGTCCCCAACAACACTTTGAGGCAGAGGTGTTAGTGGTCTCAGTTCCTAATTAAAGGTGGCTAGGACATTTACCCTGAGTTGCATGGTGGTAAGTGGTGTTGCCAAGATTAAAATCTGGGCTGTTTCACTATGGAGTCCATTCTGTTAGCAGCTATATTCTGCTTATTTCTGTAGTTTGTTTCTGAGCTGCAAAAGATAAAGCCAGTGGCATCATATACCATGCTGATGGCACAGGAAGGTAGTAGAGAAAAAGACTGAGTGTGAACAAAGCTGGTAGCTGCTGATGGAACAGTATAGGTCACAGATAGGGGTTAGGATCAAGAGTGTAGGTAGAAAGCACGTTGCCTGGTGCCACACGTCTGTAATCTTAGTGCTGAGGTAAATGGATAGCAAGTTCCAGGCCAGCCTGTGCTATGTAGAGAGACCCTGTCTATTTGTTTTAAGGTTAGGGTTAAGATTAGGGGTTGTCAAGGAAAATCACTCACTTGTTCTCCAAAACAGGAGGAAGAAGGGATTAGCAACAATGTAGAGAAAGTGAGACAAGGGATTTTACAGCAGAGGACAAAGGATGAAAATTTTAGGAGCTGTTTTGAGGTAGTGAGACTTTTCTAGTGGATTGTTAAAAGTGATCTCCCATTGAGAGTTGGTGGGACCTGGAAGTCCTGTTGAAGAAAAGGCCAAAATGAGCTAGCATCAGGGTGGAAGGTCTCTAAAGTATCCCCTGGTGGGGCTATTGGGGGCCTGCATCAAAGGGACTGCGTTTGATCAGCTCCTGCCCACTGACACAGGTGGAGTTGAACAGAAGGAATTTGAGGGAAACCTCATCTATCTTTCACCCTAGAACAGTGTCTCAGATTTAGGAGAGGAATAGAGGTACAGAGCAGAGGTGGAATAAAGGCAGTGAAGATGGCCCGTGCTAAGGCCCGGACTGCCTTCACTGACTGGTTCCCAAGTCAGCCAGTTTGGAAGTTTTCAGAAAGCAAATGCATCATTGAGAGTGGTGCTCCCCAAAACTCCTGGGGGTAAAGGGCTCTGTGGGGTTCTTGCTTTAAGGTCATGAACTGCTTATGTTTGGGGAAAATGTAATTAATTTGAAAAACAGTTATTTAAGTGTACAAGCACGGTGCCATGGTGGCACACACCTTAATCCAGCACTCTGGAGGCAGGGCAGGTGAGCTCAAGGCCAGCCTGGTCTACATAGTCCCAGGCCAGCCAGGGCTACAGAGAGAGACCCTGACTCACAAAACAAAAGGCAGGCAGGAAGCACATGAGTACAGACCTAGTTTTCTGTTTCTTTGCTTTTTAAAAAGTGCTGGCTGCTTTTGGGAACATCTGCTATTATTGTGCCAAGGACTTCTTACTCAGAAGCAAACTGTGGCCTCACCTGGCCTACTAATGAAGGGGACATTAAATGCTGAGCAGGGCTGCCGAGGGCAACCCACTCACAGAGCTTTCCCGGGTGCTTAGCCCAACACCTGGATGGATACTACAGTCCCTGTAAAGGTTGATTTTCGTATTCAGAGTAAAATGGTCTTGAGGAAGTCTCAGAAAGTACATTCTGTTTACCTTCCTGATGGAGGGCAGAGCGAAGCAGTGTGTGCTCTTGTCTGCCTTGTTGGGCAGTTTTCCAAATCTGCATGTTTCTAGCCCTGAATCTCTTTGCTGCAGGTCGTGGCTTCGGCTAAGGTGTGTGAAATTGCCCATGAGTCTCCAACAGTGAAGAGCCTCCGCCTGCTTGTTGCTGATAAAGCCTTCTCCTTTAAGGCTGGCCAATGGTGAGTGGCATTTTCCTTTTCCCATCAAATGAAAGGCATGATATTTTCTTCTGGAAAGGACTTCTGTGGCTAGCTATCCTTACTAGGAGAGAGGAATTTTGGGTCATTTCTGTTTGGGCATGGACAACTTGATTCCTTTCTTGGTTGTAACCCATATCCTTCAGTCGTGTATTAAACCTACCATGAGTAGTCCAGTTTCAAACAAAGCAAAGTTCTGGCTGGTCTGTGGAACCACAGCTTGACAGTTGTGTCTGCAGACAGGTTCATTGCAGTCACCTGATCTGCTCTGTGCATTTCTACACATGAGTCTTTGTTCTAATAGAGAGAGGAGCTGAAACAAGGGTCTTGGCCTCCACTCAGAGATCCTTTTGCCTGAGTGCAGCGATTAAAGGCATGCACACCACACCTAGCTACCGTATCTTTTTGAGAAGAGTCTCTCGTTGAACCTAGCACTCAAGTTGATAAAAACAAAACAAACAAAAAACTGATGAGGACAGATGTTAAGCTAACTTTATATTCTTGGAATTTTTCTTTTCTTTGAATGGATAGTAGTAGTCTATAGCAGTGGTTCTCAACCTGTGAGTCACGACCCCTTTTGGAGTCGAACAACTCTTTAACAGGGGCCACCTAAGAATATCAGAAAACACAGATATTTACGATTTATAACAGTAGTAAAATTATATTTATGAAGTAGCAACTGGATAATTTTATGGTTGAGGTCACCATGACATGAGGAACTGTATTAAAGGGTTGCGATGTTAGAAAGGTTGAAAACCACTGGTGTAGTTTTCTTTCAGTGTCTTTGAATATCAGGGCGTTACCAGCTTCATTAGAGTAAGTTCCAATGACTTTGTCCTCTTGTTTGGGATAGTTTTGGAAGAACTGTTATTAATTCTACTTCAAGTGTGTGATGCAGTGCACTAGCAATGCCGTCTGAAGCAGAATTTTTCTCTGTGAAGTTTTATTAATTCAGTCCTTGGAGTTTATGTAGATCTGATCAGGTTTTTCTGTTTCTTCTTGTGCCACTTTTGATAGTTGATGTCTTCTTAGTAATATATGAGTAATATAATTCATCTAAATTAAATAGCTTTTAGCATAATAGTTCTTTGTAAAATTCCTGAAGAATCCTTTTTATTTTGTAAGATTGGTTTTGATTGTAACATCTTTTATTAGTTAGTGGTTTATATTTCCTTACTCTAACTAAAATCTTGTTGGCTTGTTTCTTTTGTTTGCCAGTGACAATTTTCTTAGTTACTGCAACAGTGATGGTTTATTTGTCTGTCCTTTTAGGGTTGATTTCTTTATCCCAGGAGTCTCAGTCGTTGGTGGGTTTTCAATTTGCTCCAGTCCCCAACTGCTAGAACAAGAAAGAATGATAGAATTGGCAGTGAAATACACAAACCACCCTCCTGCTATCTGGGTTCACAATAAGGTAAGCAACTACCTTTAAAACCAAAGAAAAACTTTTTTTTTAGATTTATCTAATTTTATGGGTGTGAGTATTTTACCTGCATGTTTGTTTGTGCACCTTGTGTGTGTCTGTTTCTCTAGGTCATCATGGTTGTGGGTCACCATGTGGATGTTGGGAACCGAACCTGAGGCCTCTGTAAGAGTGACAAGTGCTCTGAATTGCTGAGCATCTTTCCAACCCCTCAACTTTTGAAGTTGGAGATATGAGCATCTCCATCTGCCTCTTTTAAATATGTGTTCAGCTCCCTTAGTTCACTTGTAGCCCGGACCTGCAGGAATAGGGAAATACTTGAAACTTGAAAGTAGAGAAAGAGTTCTACGTGGCACCAAGAGGAAGAACTATAAAGGAAAAATAAGGTATATTGAAGTTATCCAAGATTAAATTTCTCTGCAAGAAACTAGTAACAGAATTAAAGATAACCTACGGCTGGGAAAACAGAAAATGGTGTTGATCTTCATTAACCACCAGGGAATGCAGACTGCAGCCGGACATGGTGGGATGCCCTGTTGCCTACTCTGCTCAGCCCAGGGGGAGTTGCCACCAGCCATTATGAAGTCAGTGTTGTCCTGGAGCCGTTTTCAGAGGCTCCTTTCCTCCTGAGCTACTCTGGCCAAGCTGTTAGGGTGGACATTGGAAATACGTCTGGTGGCAACAGGCTGCTTGGTTGACATGGGATAAAGTGCTTAAAGTCTTTTATCTTATGGGCTTTGGCAGAGCACGGAGTTCCAGACAGCTGTTATGGGTTTTGCTTCAGTTGCTGAGGGAAGGTTGCCGATGTCACATGGGGAAAGTCAGTACTCAAATTTAGTACAGTGCTCTGTGAGGAAGATAAGGTCCTTTTACCTGCTTGCATATTAGAGAATACAGTGATTTGAACTTTGTGTTCATGCTCTACTAGTGGTTTCTACTATCAGCAAAAGACAAAGATGGCTTTTTTCATACTTTGTTCTCATTGCTACACAACACTGAAGAAGCATGAAGAAAAGGTTTCTTTCTCATTTCTCAGTTTTTTTGCTGCGGGGTTCTTCTGACAGAAGAGAGAAGTGTGTATGTAGGTGAGCAGGGCTGCAGCAAGGGCAGAGCCTGTAGATTTTGGATTCTACTCTTAGGGCTTGAGAGGAAGGAACATTTTAAGCACCAGTGCAGCCATGCCTAGAGTTAAGTTCTTCTGACCCAGCGCCCCCTCGCTGCCAACACTTTCTGTCAAAATGAAAGCCCCCTTACTGTCATGTAACACTCTCCTACATATTTAACATAGTCAAGGATTTCCACTCATTTAACTGCTCTTTACCAATAGGGGATTTATTTTATGAATCAAGGCATTTTGTTCTTGGGTTTTTCTCTAAGTTTGGTCACTTAAGTTACAGAACCTTGAATTAAATCTCTGTCCAGAAGTGTCTACTGCTCATTTGGTATCTGAGGTGTCAAGGACTAAATGGAGGGCTTTGACCCTCCAAAAGCATATAATATGTTACTACTACTAAATTCTGTGGATTTGTGCCAGGAGCTTGCAATGGAGGTAAAGCTGTGCTTTCTGTGTGAATGGCTGAATCCTGGATCCTGGTTTTAGAGGGAGGCAAGAAGGAGGCAGACATACCCAGCACTGTGGCTTCTCTAAGAGCCACAGTAATCCAGACATCTTTCCATATAGAACCCAATGCTAGCAGGAATCCCCTGCCCTCCAAGGAAAAACACATAAAACTGAAAAAAGCACCCAAAACTCAAATTCTCTAGCTGAAATACAAAGAAGGAATAAAGGAAGGAAAGGGACCCATAATCAAAGAATATTTATTTTTGACACTCAAGATTGAGCATATGGAAACCACACGATAGAGTGAAGCAGTCAGAGGACTTTTACTAAAAACAGTTACACAAATATGTGGTCTGCAAATGCAGCTGGTATAGGCTTGCTGTGTAGTTGACAGAAGTCTGGACACTCATGTTACCACCCAAAATGTGATCTTCCAGAACAGTGAACACAGCCAACTATAGTCTGCACACTTGTCACATTCTGGAAAATTCGGGTGAACATAGATTTGTGCAAGGCTGTCTCTGAGTTTATTTGTGAGATGAGTCACGTTCAGATTCATCTTGATTGTGGGCTTGATGGAGAAGAGAGTACAAGACTAATTAGTAAGGCTCACTTCTGTATGTGTTCTGTGAGGCCATTTTCAGAGAGGATTAACCAGGTGTGGAATACCCTCCCTGAATGTGGGGCGGCAGCACCATCCTATGGGCTGGGGGCAGGGGCCGCAGAGAAAATAAAAAGGAGGGGAAGGAGAAAACCGGCATGCAGGTGTTCTCTTTCTGTGTTGCCTGGCTGCCATGCACTGAGCAGGTCGGCTTCTGTGTGTCCTTCCAGAAGCCTGCTCTACCCTCCCCACAGCCCAGCTCTCAGGTACTACAAACCAGGTTTTGCCTACATAAATAGCCTGTGGGTCACTCAGAATCACCCTGACAGTCCTGTGCATTGCAGCAATGTCATGCAGGTAATCCAGCACTCTGAATTTTAAAGAGGCCCTCATTAGTATCATGTGTAAATTTCTGTGTTCTGCATATTCCCACAGTGACTGATCTCTGACTACCAGTGAATAGCACACACAATTCCTGCAGATTTAGCCATCAGTTTAGTAGGAGCCAGAACCAGAAAGTGACCAGTTATATGGAACATCTAGCTCTATCCTCCAAATGTCACAGGTTTCCAGAACACCCCATCAGAGGCAGTATTGGCCTGTTGGGAACCAGTGCATTTTCCTCTGGAGACAGTTGTGGTGTAAGTGACCTCTTGAAATACAGGCACATTTCATGGGCAGGCCAGTGTCAGGCTCAGCCTGCATGTACAGCCTCCTGCTGCTTTTCTGGCTGCTAGAGGGAGAAGTGAACTGGTACCACAGTGCCAGTGCAAGCCTGCACCACTAGTCTGAGGAGGGAATCACTTCTCAGCTCGAGGACACACCAGTCCCATCCTGCCTTTCTCAGCCTGGGTCAGAACATGGAACATGACTCTGAAGGGATGCATACCCCAGAGTTGCCCTAGCTTGTCCATTACCATTTTTGGCAGCTCACCTGTGAAGTTAATGGCAAATTCTCTGAAGCAAGTCCTCCTTTCTTAATACTAGAATGGCTGTCGTGTGGATCACATAGTTGGGATAGCAAGCAGCCTACATGCTGGACAAGTAGAATCAAGTCCCAAGGCTCTGGTAGAATTGGGGACAAGTTGTACAGATGGTCCTAAATACTAAAAGGCAGACAGAAGGTCAGCCTGGTAGCGTCATTAAGTAGAACCTGTGGTCTGAGACTTGTGCTGCACAGGACCAAAGGGTCTTTTCTTTCTTGCTTCAGTGCACACTTGACTCGGAAGTGGCCCTCAGAGTGGGAGGAGAGTTCTTCTTTGACCCTCAGCCCACAGAGGCCCCTCGAAACCTCGTGTTGATTGCTGGAGGGGTCGGGATTAACCCCCTGCTTTCCATCCTGCGCCACTCAGCAGATCTCCACCGAGACCAAGCAAACAAAGGAAGTAGCTATGAGATAGGAAAAATAAAACTGTTCTACAGTGCAAAGAACACCAGCGAACTCCTGTTTAAGGTAAAGTGGGAGATGTGTTTACAGGGTGCACAAACAACAGGAGATGTGACATGATAGGGGCAAAGGGGGCTACTGAAGCTCAAGGACACAAATAGAGCTCAGGACAGGAGGAGAGACGTGTATGTGTGGGTGGGGATGATCAACCAAAATAAAGTGTGTATAAAAATGCCATAACGAAACCCATTACTTTGTATGCTGATTAAACAATGAAAACTCATACAGGCATATAGGACAAGAAAGAAGTGAAACTGCCCAGGGGGTTGAATGGGAGTAAAGGGAGAAGGATGGGGTAAAAATAGCCAAAGTGATACACTTCAGTGAAAATGTCTTTTTGAAGTCCATCACTAAACAATGAATATATGCCAATAAAGATAAATAAACATGTAAGTAACTGGGAAAATTTTTTCTTCTGTAGGTTGAGATTTCTCGCAAAGGTTCCAGTAAAAAGCTTGGCAAGGCTTATTCAATTCAAATGAGAATTAACAGACATATTTCACCCAGGACAGTTAATGTTTCCAGTTAAGTGCAGGATAAGAGGAGTCTTGGTGGGTGTCTTAGTTATTTTTCTGTTGCTATGATATAACACTATGGCCAAGGCAACCTATAAAAGAAAGCATTTAACATGGGTTCTGGTTTCAGGGGGTTAGAGTTCATGTGTGTCATGGCAGCAGGCAGGTAGACATGGTGCTGAAGCAGTAGCCGAACCCAGAGGGTTAACTGAGAATAGAATTAGTCTTCTAAAACTCCAACAAACACATCCTCTAACAAGACCATACTCCAATCCTTCCCAAATAGTTCCACCATCTGGGGGCCAAGTATTCAAACTATGAGCTGTTGAGGTAATTCTCATTCAAATCACCACTGTGGGATGGAATCTAGAAGTTAATGGAACAGAAAAGTCACTGGGGCCAAGCATGGTGACTCAACACCTGTAATCCCAGCACTTGCCATGAAAGGCTGGAAGATCAGGCATTTGTGGCCAACCCCAGCTATATGCAAGTTCAGGGCCAGCCTAGACTACATGAGACTGTTTCAAAAAACAGAAGGTGGTGGTGGTGGTGGTGGTTTTGAGACATTAGCCCTTACTGGCCCGGAACTTACTATGTAGACTAGACTGCCCTTGAACTCTTGGATCCACTTGTCTCTGACTGCTAGGTGCTGGAGTAAAGGCGTTCTACCACCATACCCAGCTATGGTTTAATTTTTTTTTTTAATTGTAGTTTGACCCAATTTGTTTGACATTCCAGAAAAATATCCTCGATTTAGTAAATGAATTTCCTGAGAAGATTACTTGCAGTTTGCATGTCACAAAACAGACAGCACAAATCAGTGAAGAACTTAAGCCATACATCACAGGTGAGTCCTCTAAAGAGATTTTGACTAGCTGTGCAGTTATTGGATAGACAGACCAATTGGTTAAGCAGAGATGTTTTACTCTTAAGAGTGACCTGTTGGGAAATCATTCCCAAGGGAATTGAGACAGTTCATATAGAAATACTTACTTGGATTTACTTATAAATAGGTTTCTTACTGCCCATATTAAAATTGTATTTTCACAATTTTTAGTAGGCACTGGCATCATGCCTATAGTATACAGACAAACAAATTATACTCCTGCTTTGGATGAATCAATCCCATTAATAGTTATTTTAATTACTCAGTTTCTCTATTTGGAAGGAGTCCTTAAAGTTTTTTTATTTACTTTTTGTTTGTTTTAGTGTTCTTGAGATAAGGTCTTACTGTGTAGTCTTGGCTGGACTCATGAAGATCCACCTGCCTCTCCTCTCCAAATGATGAGATTAAAGGTTTGAGCCACCACACCTATCTAAAGTTATCTTAAATTATTTGTGTGTGTGTGTGTGTGTGTGTGTGAGTGAGTGTGCGCCTGCGTTCTCGCATGCCTGTTTGCAGGTATGTATGAAGATCAGAGGACAACATTTAACATTTGGGAGTTGGTGCTCTCTTTCTATCTGTGGGTCTCAGGGATCAAGCTCAGGTCATCAGACTTGGTAGAAGCACCTTTACCTGCTGAGCCATCATACCATCCTGAAAGGATTTTTTTTTTTTTTAAATAAAATGGCATTTTGCTGAAGGCAGTTTTTTTCTCTACAAAGGCAAGTAAGCTTGTGGGCCCTCTCTAAAGAGCAGCCAGTGACGAGCCTTCTGCTTTGCTTGCTATAGGCCTGAGAAGCCTGGAGATACCAGGCACACAGAGCCGCAGGTGAACCCTGGTAGGTCAGGCTCACAGAGCTGCAGGTGAACTCTGCCACCTGGATGTGGTAGGTCAGGACGCAAACATGCTTAGCCTAATTGATGGTTATTCTATTTTTGGTAGAAGGAAGAATAACAGAGAAGGAGATAAGCAACCACGTGTCAGCAGGGACTCTGTTCTATATCTGTGGCCCACCTCCAATGACGGACTTTTTCTCTAAGCAACTGGAAGACAGCCACGTTCCCAAGGAACACATTTGCTTTGAGAAGTGGTGGTAGGGAGAAGGCACAGAAGACCTGAGAGCCACCCAGGAGAGTGAGACTCTGTTTCGGGTTTGTGGATAGCCATCTAAGCTATCTTTTTTTTAAAGCTCTGAACTAAGTGTCCAGCCCAAGACTGAAAGAAAAACCAGTGACAGATGAACACAATAAAGTTCCTGAGGACGTCATTGGTCAAGCCATTGACTATCTTGGTTTTTCTTTCATTAATACCTATTTAATTATCTCATGATAGTCCATTGTCATGGAGTTTCCAACCCCTGAGAAAAGACCATAGACTCAATCCAACTATGGTAAAGAGACTTACTAATTAATTGCTAGCAGGATGTCGGTCTCTGAGACAAATTTGAGATTGCCATGAAGAAGGGTATGGGGAAGGATTTGGGGTGTTTTTTGTTTGTTTGTTTTGTTTTAAGACAAAAACCACATGAAGAACTTCAATATCTACACAAGCAAATCTAGTCTGTTCTGCCAAGTGATTAAGATGACTCAAAACAATCTTTGGGTATCTGTGTAAATAAGTTACAGAAGCTATTAAAAGAAAAAGCAGTTACCATATCATAACAAGTAGAGGGTCATGGCTGTAAATTTCTGGGGGTCACTGAGTCAGGGTTGTTTTCTGGGAACCCACCTTGTCTAGGGCAAGCAGTCATTAGGCACTAAGATGGAGGCCCAGCACAAAATGGTTTCTCTGACTGGCCTATACACCATGAACTGATTAATACAGATTTTTCTTTGCCATTAGGGGAAAAAGTGGTTGACTTAAATTAATTAAAGGAAAATGTTGGTTTTGTGTGAATTGTATCCTTTAAATTATTGGACAGAGATAAATATTACATTTAGTGAATTTATAATTTTAAATACATTCTTAATTTTAGTTTGAAAAAGTCTTCATGTTTATGTTTTGGTTTTCTTTTAGTTTGGATGACCAGTAGCCCCATGTGAACCCCAAGCATTGCATCAGGAAGTGAAAAATCAAGAAAACAGCTTTAGGGGGTTGGATGCCCATTATGTTTTCTTTCTTGGCATTGACTACCCTGAACAATTATTATCATTAGTTCTTCTATAACAAACCTTTCTGTGCCCTGTCCCCTACCTTACCTGAGGAGGTAGCTTCTGGGGCAAAGGTGCTGGTGGCTACTCTTTCAGTTGACTCTGCCTTCAGCAGCTGGGCTGGCTAGCTGTGGAGTTGTTCTTAGGATTGGCTAAGGGATATGGAGCTATTTCCAAGTCCTGGTTGTCTGCTTTTTATGTCCCTCCTTTTTAGAGCTGTTTCTGACTCCAGTTGGTAGGTTACACATATGTGCTGGATGATAGAAAGCATCTAATGTTTCACTCTATCCAAATCTGGATCCCCAGGTGGATGGAAAGTGACAGACACTCATCCTTGGCTACTCTGATGAAACTGCTAAAGGAAGAAAGTTCTGTGCCTTTTTAGATTTAGCAGGGGAAAGCCCAAGGTTCATATGCTGATTGAAGCAAGAAAAGTCTTGGGCCTATGGCATCAGCTCAGAGAACATGGGAAACAAAAGAACCCAAGGAAAGCCCAGTGCTGGAGACCCAGGAGGCCCAGTAGAGAGTCTGTTCTTGACTGGTGAGAGAGGCAGCTTGCCCTAGTCTCTGTTACTGCACACAACCCAAGAGCTTATAGGGCCTGAGGGGGACATCACCATACAGCCTCTGCCTCGTTTCAAGTTTTGTCACGTTTTAAGCAGATTCTGAACTGAAGTAATGTGTCACCAATGGCTGGGGAACACTCTGAACTGTGCTTTTAACATCGTGTAGACATTATAAAGTACACATCACAAACTGAGGTGTCACTAGGTAGTGTAGTCTAATGAGATCCATGTTGTATGACCCTGTCATTGACTAAGACACTGATACTCAGTGTGTAAGTCATATATCTCATATTCAGTGGGAGGGGTAGGGGCTATGTTGTTCACCCCAGGAAGTAGCCATCTGCCTTTGGAGGAAAGAGACTTGTAAGAAGCTCTGAGCTGCTGCAATGAGCTGTGACTTTTACTGATTGACCTCTAAAGTGTCCTTGCTGAGGCATGGACTTCCGAGCTGAGCTCTCAAGAGGAATGGGAAGTGCTGAAGAGATGGCTCAGTGATTAGGAGTACTGGCTCTTCTTCCAGAAGTCCTGGATTGAATTCCCAGCACCCATGTGGTGGCTCACAATCATCTGTAACTTCATCCTAGGCTATAGCAGCCTCTATTGCTTGGGCTCTGCATGCATGTGGTACACAGACAAACATGAAGGCAAACACCCATACATATAAAGATTTCTAAAAGAGGCATTGGGCACAGCAATGAGATACAGGGGGGTTGGGTCAGCAAGGGGCTCTTCTGTCAACTGGCAAGGCAGCCTACAGTGGAGGGAACAGAGGGGACAAAAGAAGAGTCCATCCTAAGCCCCTGTGACAAAAGTGGCTGTTACTAGGGAGCATTCTCAGCAATGTAAGATGGCAGCATAGAGTCGCCCACCCTTCCTCTTTCCCACCACTGTGCTGTGTTCTACTGTTATCAGAGGCCAAGGGCTACCTGTCTGGAGACCCCAGCTATGTCTGCCACCCTGCATCTACTTGCCATCACTGTTGTCAACTACTGTGGTGTGCCAGGCTGTGGTCTATGTTTGTCTGCACTCTTATTCCTTCTGGTTCTTTCCTGGTGCCAAGTGCTGAATAGCATATTCTGGTCTGCTGGCCAGGAACACCCCAGTGGCTTTGCTGCCAGGCCAGTCCACATCTCTGGTGTCTGAGCAAGCTTCAGCCATGGCACCTTGCAGGTCAGAGTGCAGCAGCTGTGGAGACCAGGGAGAATTTGTGCTGAGCTGTTAAGTCATTCCTGGGTAGTTGACTTTGATCAAGCTTCTTGGCAGGTTTTTGCTTCATGTCAATTTACTGCTTGTACCTAAGTAAAAACAAGCATTGACTCTTCACAGGCTTTTAAGGGGCTTAAATGCAGTCGTATGAAAAACACTGAGTGTATTAATCATTACTCATTTCTCTTTGTCCTACTCAAAGGATTTCAGGGGACTGAGTGGAGTTGACTTTGTTCACTAACTTGGTCCTTCATGTGGGTAGACCAGTGCTTCTCAACCTGCCTAGTGCTGTGACCCTCTAATAGAGTTCCTATGTTGTGGTGACCCCCAACCATAAGACTGTTTTGTTGCTACTTGGTAAGTAGTTTTGCTAGTTATGAATCAAATGTAAATGTCTGTGTTTTCCCATGGTCTTGGGTGACCCTGAAATTGTCATTCAACTCCAAAGAGATAACAACCCACAGGTTGAGAACCACTGACTTAAAGATTACAGCCATGATACAATTAGAAACAGAGGAACATTTTCCTGAAAAGGTTGGTATTACAGCTAGTTCTAGTTTCTGAGGAAACCTGCCTGGTTAAATGTTTTCCTAACCTTTGCCTGAATGTTTTCTTAATACAGAGCTCTGTTTTTCTCTGTTGTTTATAAAGCATTCACTTAAAAGTCTCTAACATCAGCTATAAATGAAACTTTGACCTTGTTGAGACACTGTTTCCAAGTAGCAGAAAGCTTGACAAAAAGAAGAAAGTATGAAGTAAAACAAACAGAACCTTAAACCACAGGCCAGCAGTCATGAACCAGAAAGAGGAGGGAAAGAAAGCAGAACAGGAATAGAATGGACTGCTTTTAATTCAGAAATCAAGCTATCTGTTCCTGGACACATCCAAAAAGTGCAGTGGTGCAGCTTGTTAAGGGGAGGTGACAGAGGATTGGGAGCTGGGGAAGGAAGAAAGATCATGTGAAATCACTTAGTTCCTTTGGGGAGCTTCCTCAATGAATGACCGACAGTCCTAGAATCTACCCCAGCCATCACCACCATATGTAACTAATACTGAAGTCAACACAAATGCCAAGAAACAGGAGCAAGCATTGAACCCGTAAGTTGCATTTTATTCACAATTTATTCAGATTTCTGAGACGGTGAAAGGTTAATACCCAAGGAAGGCCCTCTGAACATCATGTCGTCATCTAGCAATGGTTTCAGTTTTTTTGTTGCTTTTATGCACTGCATGTGTTGGTCTTTCTCTGTCTCTCAGTGTCTCTGTCTCTCAGTGTCTCTGTCTCTCTGTCTCTCTCTCTCTCTGTCTCGTGCGTGTGTGTGTGTGTGTGTGTGTGTGTGTGTGTGTGTGTGTGTGTGTGTGTGTGTGTGTGTATGTGTGGTGTACAACTTGAAGTAGTCAGTTGTCTCATTCTAAAATGTGGCTTCTGAGTATCAAATTAACTTCATCAGGCTTGGTGGCAAGTGCTTTCAGCTGCTGAGCCCTCCAGACAGCCTCTGCCAGCAGGCTTTATAGGGAGGGAGGCAGAGGCTGTAATCAGTTGATCAGCCACACTCCTGAGGTCTGTAATGTGTCTTCTCTCTTATTCCCCTTGAACCTTGCCCTGGTCATATTTCTGGACACCTGGTTCAGTCTAGTTAGTGTCTCTTAGCACCAACTCTGCAGTAGCCCGGGACTATTGCTGACGGTTTTTCTTGTCCTGCCAAGTCCCACCACCACTTCAGCCCCAAATAAGCACAAAGGCACTATATTAATTATATAATTGTTGGCCAATGACTAGGGCTTCTTATTGGCTAACTCTGTCTTTATTATTAACCCATTTCTATCAGTCTATATGTATTGCCACGAAGCTGTGGCTTACCTGGTAATGCCCCTGCATGTTACTCCTTTGGCAGCATGGCAACTCTAAGGCAGGCTCCCTCTGCCTACCTTTCCCAGAATTCTCTTTGTCTCCTATTCCTGCCTGTCTTCCTGCCCTATTGGCCAACAGTGTTTTATTCATCAACCAATAAGAGAACATATACAGAAGGACTTCCCCCCTCACAGGTCCCACCTAGGCTGGAGAGGTAACACAGAGCCTTCCTGGCCTGTGCATGCTACATTTTGAATAACACAGATGTGGGTATTCTTTTTTGTGTCATGGATTTCATATAGTGTCACTATAGTGTTGAACATGAAAATGTCCTTTTTTTTTTTTTTTTTGATTTTTTTGAGACAGGGTTTCTCTGTGTAGCTTTGTAGCCTATCCTGGCACTCGCTCTGGAGACCAGGCTGGCCTCGAACTCACAGAGATCCACCTGCCTCTGCCTCCCGAGTGCTGGGATTAAAGACGTACACCACCAACGCCTGGCTGAAAATGTCCTTAGACACCTCCTCATACCTATCCCTTATCAGTTTACATGAAGAAATGATGGGAGAGGGAGAAACCAGCTTGGGCAGTGCTGTAATTTGGATCTATTTCCTTAGTCAAGCTAGGAGTACAGATGGTTCTCAGAGTGGGACTGCTAGACTACAAGGTACTTCGAGTTGTCATTGTTCACAGGGACTATGTGCAGCTTCCTGTACAGGAGGTCACTACTGAACAAGGAGGAGGAAGGCTCCCTTGAGGAAGCAAAAAAAGACTAAACATTCAGGCTGACCTTTTGGGCTAACCTTATGGCTTTCCAAACAGACTCGGCACTTGGCTGTTGTGAGTCATATTCCTGAGCCCTCATTTCTTTGTCCACAAGCTAGGAAAGATCATGGAAGGTGTCTAGCCGTCTGTCAGTGCAGGATGAAGACTCCCAAGGAAAGTTTTTTCCCTCTCTGCTCTCACACCAAGGGCAGCAGCTTCTTAGGGTGAGGGAATGGTGAACACATTAGGCTAGAGGCTTAATAGATGAAACCTCAAACCAATAGAAATAGTAGTTTCCTGCTCCACCCTCTGTAAATACTGTGTTCTTGGAACAAAGTCTTTCCAAGAAGATCCTTGTGTGGCCATTCTCACCTGTGTGAATAGGAGCCAGCACTCACTCTTCCTGAGGCTTTGCTGGAGGTTCCTGCCTGCAAGGAGGCCTGCTTCTCACAATGGTGGGTGACTGACTTCATACATAGGACTTCTGTCTTTAGTTGAAAATGGGTCTTTTCTTAGCGTCTCTTCTAAGAGCCAGAATCAGGGAATGAATGTGGATCCCCACAGGAGGACAAGATGAAGGAATCAGAGCTGGTGAGAAGGGCCACATGAGGGTGCAGAGGGCCTCGGGAAGGGTGACCTCACCTCATGACAAATTTACTCTATGAAACCCTCCTCAGACAGAGCTGGAGGGGTAGAAGACAGTGGTGGTGTCCTCCCTGTCTGCACTCAGACCCCTCCTCCCACCACTCCCACGAGGCCTGGGAGTGAACTCAGGTGCCTGCAGAGCTAGCACTCCCCTCCCCTCACTAAGAGTCTGAAGACCCTGGCCCTTGTTTATGGAAAACAGGGCCCTCCTTTCCAGGGACAGATACTTAACAAAGGGGACACAATTCAGGGGACACTGCCAGTCTGCTTCATCCAAGCTGGTCACAAAGTCATACCACTTAGAAACCCCAGCAAAAGCCAGTTTCCTTCACTCTCCTGTGCCACGTGCATCAGGGCTACTGTCTGCAGCAAGGGAGGAGAGCAGAACAGAAAGCAGGGAGAGGGGACTTGGGTAGTCTTCAGCCTAGGATCTCAGCATCACCTGGGAGCATTGATCCTGAGCCTGGAGACCCACTGAAGCAGAATCTTCAAGCATGATCTTCATCCCGGGCTCCCTGAGTTTATATGATCATGAAAGCAGCAGTGAGCAGACAGTGTAGGTCCCTTCCTGTGGGCTCCCATGGGAGAGCACAAGACACAGCAGTATAAGTCAGTGAACTTGCACTGTGAATATGCTATTAGCTGCACCCTGCCACAGTGGGATCAGAGACAAAGACATAAGAGGGGGAGGGGGACCGGAACGAGAGTGAGTTCCATCCACCAGTGTCTCAGGACTGCATGTCTTCCTGGAGCTTCAGGAATCTCAGGAGTCCTGCACAACCCACAAGCCTTGGGATGTAACTCTGACTCCTTGATTCTTTTAAGTGACTAGGTAAACAAAATCTAAACTTCCATGATCACCTTACCATGGAAAAGTATTCTTTCCATCTAAGGGTGAAGCAGTCATCAACAAGCTGGTTTGGGTGTGAAATAAAGACTGAAAAAAACAATAAACAATCAGTGAATTTTAATTGTTGGTATGTGTCAAAAAATATCAAGCAGTATTTTTTTGGTGGTGGTTTTGATTTCTTTTTTATTCCTTCTTCCTTTCGGAAAGATTCATGCATTTTTTTTTTATAGTTTTAAGTTGGATAGATATCACTGTAGAAGAACAGAGGAGGCCCCCAAAAGAAAGCTATTACAACCACATGTCACAAAATGCCTTCCTAGCCAGGTGTGGTGGCTTAAGACTGTTATCCCAGCACTTGGGAGGCGGGGCAAGAGGGTTGCCCTGAGTTCAAAGCTAGCCTGGGCTACACTGTGAGTTCCAGGTCACACTCTGTGTCACAGTAATCACGGCACCCAGGCTGTTGTGCAGCCTGCAGAGTTAGTTGCACTTCACAGTGTATAGTGGGTCCCTTGCCCCTGCTTTCTCTTCCCACTTTGCTAGTTCATCAGTTTTTGTTTTGAGTTTTGTTGTTATTGTTTTTCTTGTGAACCTCTGTGTTCTCAGTCACCTGTTCGCTTGGGTGTTGCATGGTCTTCCATTTTCACACTACAGTGAGCTGGGCTGCCTTTTCAGGGGTCTGCCTTCACCTCTGGGCTGTTGGCAGGATCATGTTAGAAGTGAAATGTGAGTGGCCTTAAGTTACACTTGTCCATTGCTCCAGAGACACTGTTGCCATGGAAATGCCCCTTGTGCTCATCACTTCCCCCTATGGGCCTGTTTCTCTGTCTTCATGTGTGTAATGTTTCTTTATTGCTGTCTTTGTGTGTATGTGTGTGTGGTTCCTTTATTGCTCTGTCTTCATGTGTGTGTATGTATGTTCCTATATTGCTCTGTCTTCATGTATGTGTGTGTTCCTTTATTTCTCTCTCTCTCTCTCTCTCTCTCTCTCTCTCTCTCTGTGTGTGTGTGTGGTTTCTTTATTGCTCTCTTCGTGTGTGTGTCCCTTTATTGCTCTTGCTATTTTTCTAAAACTTCATGTTTTCCATTCCTATAGAGAAATTCTTCATATGTTGTTTTCTGAGTTTGACACCTTCCCAGCTTCACTTGTTACTTACATAGCCTTTACCAATGCTCTTGTGATTGGGACGTGGTAGTCCAGATCTTCTTCAACCATCAGACAGGCCGTGGCAATGTCATCCCAATGCCTGCAATCTGCAGGTCTTGGCCACACCTATCTTGGTTTCACACTGATGTTTACCTATATTATAGTCATATCTGCAGCTAATTCTGCTCCAGAGCTGTATTTTTCGTTGTCTATATTCTTGTTCATGTTTTATTCTCTTCATAAACCTTTCTTTCCCATCCTCATTTCTGTCCATTTAATTCTAAGTGTTCTGTAAAACACCTTTAAAAAACCCCTTTCTCTGGACTGGAGATATGGCTTAGTGGTTAAAAGTATTGTCTGCTTTTCCAGAGGACCCAGGTTCCATTCCCAGGACCCATGTGGCAGCTCACACCTGTCTGTAACTGCTGTTCCAAGGGCTACAATGACCTCTTCCAGCCTCTCTGGGCACTGCACATATGTGGTGCACGTACTTACATGTAGGCAAACACCCATACACATAAAATAAATCTCTTTAAAAAGCCATCTTGTCTGCAAGGGTTTCTCAAACTACCTTTTCAATAAACAGCCCACTGTCATTATTTCCCTGTGATATATGACTCTATTCTATAGCACCCTTTTGCAAAGCTGTATGTGTCTTATTCTAAGCCTGAAGGTGGAAGCATCACACTCAACACTTGTTCCTAGACCCCATCAGGGACCTTCGTACATGACACTCAATCAAGGGTTGCCATAGTGAATCATTCATTTTCCAGCCCTGACCTTTACATTGTAGGAAGCCCTGCAGGACAGCCTCACCGTAATCCTTGTCATCTGGGTGACCTCATGCAATGCATACTGCTATATATATAGATTTCTTCCAGGTCAACCATCTGATGGTGAGTCTCGGGAGTCTTTGTTTTGTTTTGTTTTGTTTTGTTTTTTGTTGGTTTGTTTTGTTTTTTTAAAATATTTTCTATACCATTATACCTAGTAGATATGACCTGCTTGCAAATGAAAGTCTTTGAATATATACACACAGAAACAATAAAATGAAGAATTTCAATTTGCCTCAACTGTAAAAAGGTTGTTGCCAATTCTAATTACCTAGAGCAGTGATTGTCAACCTTCCTAATGCTGCAACCCTTTAATACAGTCCTCATGTTGTGGTAACCCCAACAACCATATAATTATTTCATTGCCACTTCATAACTGTAATTTTCCTACCATTGTGAATCATAATGTAAATATCTATTATGGGACCCCTCAAGGGGGTTGTGACCCACAGGTTGAGAACCACTAGCCTAGAGAGCATTAAGACTTAGCAAAATCGAGATCCATCAAAGACTAGTTCAGTAGGACTCTCTTGGGGGTACAGTTATACAAGGAATCTCTTGGGGTACAGTTGCACATGCAAAGCTCTTTGACTCTTACATGCAGCCAGGGCTAAAAAGCAGCATTCAAGCTTTAATGTGTATGCCCACCAGTGAGATCTTGTTTAATGTGGATTTTCAGTGCTTTGTGGGGGTGGGCAGTACTGGGATCACACACTACAGATAAGCACTTTACTACTGAGCCACACTGTCCAAGACATATTCCGATTCAGTGGAGCTGATGGCGGATGTAAAAGTCTATATTCAGTGTTGATGCTGCTGTCTTTTAAGCACACTTGGACCACCAAAGAGCTAAAGCAGCAGTGCTTGCCCTGATTGACACTTGAATCACATGAGGAGTCTAAAATAATAAGTCAGTGGGATGGGATACTGCTCAGTTGGTAGAGTGCTTGTATAGAGGGCATGAGGTCCTGGGTTCAGTATCCAGCACAGCATAAATTGAGTATTGTGGCACATGCCTGTCAACCCCAACTTGTGAGGCAGAAGCAGGAGGATCAGGAGTTAAATGGCAAACTGAACTATATAGGGAGTTTGAGATCAGCTTGAGATGCAGTTGGCTCTGTCTCCAAAATATAAAAAATAAACAAAATGAAATAAAATATTAAGGTAGTATTATGGACTTGACATCCAAAGACTTTGATTTCATCATTCTGGGTTGAGGCGCAAACACAGAGATGTTTGTTTGCTTGCTTTGTGCATTAAAGATACATGTTCTACCACTGAGTTAAACCTAGTCTGTGGGTGTTTTTTAATTAGCCACAATGCTTCATGTGTGCACCCAGCATTGAGAACCACTGACACAAGGCAAAGCCAGTAGAGAAGTGAAGAATTGATTCAGGATAAGCAGCAAGAACAAGCTGGTCCCCTAGCCACTTCTATTGGATTAAAAAGGAAGGCCTTATTTTGGTCTCATATCTGTTTTGAAGTAAAATCTAGAAGAATTTAAGTTTGCTTATAAACCACCAGAGGAATGGACTGCAGTGCGCTAGAATTTAGCCGTGGTAAGCAATGAAGCATTGCTTCTGGCACCTTTACAATTGCCTGTTGTCATGTGCCAGTGGCTGACTTGATGTCCTGACAAGCTTTGTTCCTGTTGTGTGACATGGCAACTTTATGTGCATCCTTTTAGAATGCGTGGATCTTGATAATGACAAACACCCCATCAACTCTTACTGGGAGAAGAACTGTGAGCGCTGTGTTTGTAGAAAAGACAAGATTTCTTGCTGCAGGCTGTAAGTCTCAACCACTGGGATGGGGACACTAGAAGGACATCTGTTCTTTTTCAAAACCCAGTCCTTTGGGGACTTTTAAGTTTTAGCTTTATGTCTCATTTAGACACAAGGTCTTCTTACGTTTCCCTGCTGTCAAACTCCAGGGCTCAAATGGTTCTACTGCCTCAGTCTCCCCAGTACCCTGGGTGTGATGTATACATTACAGCAGAAGCAGAGACATGTTTGCATCTGTCTACAAGGTCAGAATTTATTGACTAACAAACTTATAAGCTATATTGGTTTCTTTTTTAAATTTTTCATTATTTTTAGTTATGTGTATGTGTGTGTGTTCCACAGAGGCCACACAGAGGATTCCCAACAACATGGAGATGTTTGTGTAATACCATGTAGATACTAGGAATAGAACCTGGGTCCTCTGTAAGAGCAGCAAGTGCTCTTAATCACTGAGCTGTTTTTGAGCCCAAACTATATTGATTTCTTTTATATATACATACATATACTGCAGTCGTGTGTGTGTGTGTGTGTGTGTGTGTGTGTGTGTGTGTGTTGTGTGTGTGTGATGGTGCTCTTATTGAACTCAGGGCCAAACATGCTAGCTGATCTGTACTTTCAGCCCTAAGAGCAGTTTTAGATCAGAGCAAAATTGAGCACGGGGGTGCAGGGGGCTTCCCATATGTCCCCCCCCCATGCTAAGCCGGTCTTTTTTATTATTATTATTAGTTATGGTGTTTGGCCTTATGCTTGTCCCACTAGTTCTTCCAGCTTAATTTAACCTGTTTCTCTTCATCTACATTTTGCCTCAGGGCTTTTTACCTTTCTGTATGTCCTATTGCCCTGTTTCTTCTGTGTCTGGCTGGTGGCTCCCTGACTGGCTGGTCCCTGGAATGTCCCTCTCTTTCTCACTCATTCTCTCTCAAGACTAGATTCCTCCTCTTACTTACTCTCTCTGCCTGCCAACCCTGTCCATCCCTCTACTGCCTAGCTATTGGCCATCCAACTTTTTATTAGATCAATTAGGTGCTAAGCTGGTCTTAATATCAATATTCCCTAAACAGGATGTGTTTCTGCTACTATAATGGATGCACCTGCAGTAAAGCATTGCCATCCCCAGAGGCTGTAGTCTGTCCTTCTATGTTTGTTTTTTTATGTTGAGTGGGGTATAAGGTAGGTTTCAGTTCTATATCTCATGATAAAATATACATAATACAGAATTTGCCATTGTAACTTTTTTTCAAGACAGGGTTTCTCTGTGTAGTCCTGGAACTAGCTCTGTGGACGAGGCTGGCCTCAAACACAGAGATCCTCCTGCCTGTGCCTCTTGAGTGCTGGGATTAAAGGTGTGGGCCACTGCCACCACCCAGCTGCATTGTAGCCATTTTTAAGGATGCAGTTCACAGTGTTGTGCAATTCTCAACATCACTCATTTCCAGAGTCTTTGCATCTTGCAAAGCCTCAATTCTAGAGCTTGGCTGAGACATGCCTTCAATTTTAGCTGTATGGGATGCTAAGGCTAGAGGACTACTTAAGTTCATAAATTTAAGACCAGTTTGGGGAACAAGTAGAACTATCTCAAACAAAGTCTGGAAAGATGATTCACGGAGACAAGAGCTCTTGTAGGTAAGCATGAAGACCTGAGTTGGATCCTAGGACCCATATGGAAAGTTGAGCATGGCTAGACACCCTCTTGTCCCTGATCACTTCAGGGTGCAGAGACAGGAAACTCACTGGCATTGTTGGCTGCCAGCCTAACTCCAGGTTCAGGTGAACCCTGTCTCAAAGGAATAAAGTGGAGGGTTACAAAGCAGGATGCTCAATCCTCTGACCCCTGTGCCCACACAGATGCCACCCACAGGCGCCACCAGAAGCACACACATACACAAAACAACCAAGAAAAAAAACATAAATCCCAAGTAAGAGTCTAAAATTCTATATCCATCACTCAGTTCATTCTCCTGTCCACCCCTTTCAACCAAGCATCATTCGCCTTTCTGTCTCTATCATTGTAGGATAGGTAGGAACCTCATGTAAATAGAACCATATAATACTTGTCCATAAGAGATCAATTTCCTTCATTTAGCATAATTTTCTCATTCAGACTGTGTGAAATTGATTTGCATCCTTCCTTTCCAAGGCCCATAATATATTATGTGTATATCATATTCTAGAATCATCCAGTCATCTATTATTGAACATTTGAGTTGCTTCTGGATTTTCTTTCTTTCTTCCTTCCTTATTTTCCTTTCCTTTTTCTTTTTCTTTCTTTCTTTTTTTTGGGATTAGTTGTTTTTGAAACTTGGCTGTTACCATTATTCATCTCTATAGGTTCTGGAAGACATGAAAATGTACCCAGTGACCTGGTGCTACTCCAGAAACTGGCCTGATGGCCACTATAACCTTTTGCATGAGCAAGTTCAGTCTAGACACAGGCAGGAGGCAGGGAGATGTGAGGCAGAGGGATGACCTGTAGTGCACCATGCATGTGAGTCCTGTGCTGCTTTGTCAGTCACTCAGGTTGCCCTGGAGATAGTGCAAAGTTTGTGCAGATGGTTTCTGCTGGGTTCTTGTGGATGCTAGAGGTCTAGTCCCTGAACGGAGGGACCCCAAAGCACCTGCTGCTCTGGCCACTCCACTCCCAGCCTCCCAAATTCACCTGACAGCTTCCTGTTAGTCAGCTTCAATCTGTGTTTTGCATAGACAGGCATGGTTTTGTTTTTATTTTAGTGGTGCCGGGATTGAACACAGCTTCATTCTAGGCAAACATTCTCCCACTGAGCTATATGCCAACTCACAGAGGCATTGTGTAAAGTAACATTTCCCAACATTGCCTCTGAGTCAGAACTTGACCAAGTGCCTTAGAAATTCTCACACTAGCAAAAATAGAGTGCTATTTGCATTTAATCACTTTAAAATGCCATTTAAATCATTGTGTGTATGTGTGCACTTGTGCACACAAACATGCATATCACATTGTGTACATGTAGGATCAGAGGTATCCAAATCAAGCTATGAGTCATGGCAGCCTATACTTTTGTATTGCTCATATTTGTCTGGCAGTTGTTTGTTTCAGACAGGGTGTCAGTATGTAGCCCTGGCTGGCCTGTGTAGACCAGGCTGGCTTCTACCTACCTGCCTTCCAAGTGATGAAGTAAAAACATGGGCCATCACTCCTGGCCTACAACCTGTTTTTATCTCTTCTAATTAGATTTTTTTTGAAGTTTAGTTTGTCTGACATGCCCCCTACTCCCTACTCCCTCCGATCCCCATGGAGGGTGGTGCCCTCCACAGGGGGCTCCCCAAATTCCACAATATCATCCTGGGCCAGGCCTAGGCCCTCCCCCATGTGTCCAGGGCGTGAGAGCATCCCTTCACGTGGGATGGGCTCTCAAAGTCCCTTCTTACACCAGGGAAAAATACTGATCCACTACCAGAGGTCCCATAGAGTGCCGAGGCCTCCTCGTTGACATCCACGTTCAGGGGTCTGGATCAGTACCGTGCTGTCTGGGGTCCACGTGCTCCCCCTTGTTCAGGCAGCTATTTCTGTGTCACCCCAGACTTTTAATCAGTAACCTTAAATGTCAAAAGAGCATGGAATGAAACATTTCAAGCTTGGACATATATACCTGTAAAACAAGAATAATATACCCTGAAAAGTCACCTTTCAAAGTTGATGGAGAATAAGGGTATTATAAGACAAAAACAAATTAAAGTAATTCATAACAATCAAGCTAAGTTCTTAATGGAATACTTAAAAGAATACCAAGAAAGTTCTTAATGGAATACTTTACATGGAGGATGGAGGAGGAGAGCCTTCTTTATCGGACTCTATTGAAGCATACACTTTATGAAAATAACAAATAAAATACCAGATGAGAAACAGACAACCATGTCCAACACAGAGACTGGGTAAACCCTCAAAACTAACAGGAGAACATTCCATACATGTGTCCTAAGTAATTGAATCATATCCACCATCACCCCCCCACACACACAAATACACACACCAACCCCCTCCAAATTTCTCAAGACCACAATAACCCATCGTCCTTTTTACCTCACATCCTCTTTTTAAAGTAGTATTGTTATTAGTACTCACTAAGTTCCAACTGGTGCTGACCACACACTAGTGCTGGGCCGTCCACTGAGACACAAGATCTTGTGCAGCACGGTCTGGCTTCAAATGCACTATGTATCTGAGGCTAGCTTTACATTTCTGAGCCTTTGGCCTCTGCCTAAGAGTGCTTGGGATATAAGTGTGTGTCATTATGCCAGGCTCTGGCAGGACAATTTAAATCCCAGGCCTATAGTGGGTTTCAAAGGCAATGACTTTGTGTGTGCCCCGACATGTGCCCTGGGTTTTCCCAGGAAGGTTTGCATCCAGTGGCTTCTCCCTGGGTTCCACCATCCTGGCCTGGGATGGCTCTCTGCTCCTGTTGGTGGGTGAGCTCCTCTCCTAAGTAGACACCACACAGGACTGGGACCACCCTTCCCTTTGCACAGTGCAGCACCATTGTTGTGGACCACTCCTTGAATAGAGAGGGTGGGAAGGGCAAGGCTAGTAAAAAAGCTTTGCTGTCCCAGAGTCACCCAGACCTGCCCCTGAGCCTGTGGGAACTTCCCAGCGTCAGGGATGGTCTCTGTGACTCCATTGCACAGGCAGGTACAGATACCCAGAGTCTACACTTGGACATTCCAGCCTGAGGAAGCCCTTAAGTTGGTGAGGGGAGCCCCAGGCAACTGGAATGTGGGGTCCTCTTGCACAGAGCAAGTTTGAACACTGGGGTTGAATAGACAAGTGTCCTTTGACTGGTAACATGTCTTCTCTTCTTTAATAGACAGAACTTACATGGCTGAGTACTTCAAGCAAATGGATTGCCAGGTAATATTCCACCCAGGGACCTGCACCTACACTGTGGAACAGAAAGACCCACAAAAGCCCTGTTTTAACTAAGTAGACACTGTGAACATACTTCTGCTGGGCTCAGCACTCCCAGCCTGAAGGATATTTGTAAGCCAGGCTATTCTCTAGTCACTTCTCATAATCTGTGATTACATAGCCCTACCTAATAGTGTTTTAAAAACTTGGATTTGAATATGTTTATGTTTAAAATTTGCCAATTATATTTGTGTTGATTTGATGCATGTAATAGCACAACAAATAAACACTTAAAGGAGACAAAAATAAACACAAGTGATAAACAACAACTTCTTTACGTTCCAATAGGTTGTCCTGCGTGCTTTCCTAGGAAACCAATGCCATTGTCACCACTTGTTCCTGTGTCCTGCTGTCTGGGGGACAATGTAGGGAAAACATGTGTTCATGAATGAAATTAGATTTCTTCTTTGCCCTAACTACTCACATCTATCTTCCTTTCACTTACTTGGGAGTGTCCCCTTTGCCAGGTCCCCATGTCCCTCTGTGTTTGCATAAGGTTAGAACAGGTTAGAAACGTTCTAAAAGGTGGAGTGTACAGCCATGAACTGAAGGGTAACCCAGGTCTCCCGGGTTCAGGGTGGCTGTTTGATCATAGTTCATAGAAGCACCTCTAACCATCCAGTGGGAGGCACAGTGGCTGTCAGCTTGACCACATCTGTAATCAACCCAACCCCAAGCATGTGGGCACACCTGTAAGATACTTTCCTTGATTGGATCATTTGAGGTGGGAAGATCCACCCTAAATCTGAGCACTGCCCAACCCAGGCTCTCAACACATTGCTGAGAGAACACAACTCTATCTCAGAAACTAAAACAGAATTAACATTGTCACACTTTAAAGTTAGTCTATTTTAGGAGCATGCCACACATAACTGATCCTAGAGCTAGTCTCCACCACCCACAGAAGTCTGGCGTCTGGTTCCCTGTCAGCCTGCATGAGGTCTGGAGGACATCTTCTGGGGCTGTCTCTAACCTGTTCTAATCTTATGGGGACATGGCCGAGAGGACGTGCCTGAGTAAGTGGAAGGAAGGATAAACGTGAGTACCAAGGGCAGAGAAGATGTCTGGTTTCATTGTGAACACACAGTTTCTCTCATTGTCCCCTAGGAAGCTTTTTGTCTCCTTGCCCTTGCTTACACTGGCAAGTTCATCTATTCTGTTACTGAGGCATTCCTTTGCTGGTATTAGAATCCACTTCCTCAGGACGCCAACATAGACTGAAAAACAGCAGCTCTCCAGGGAATTCTGCAAGACTCCAGAACCAGATTTGGTCTTCTGGACCATCCTGTCTCATTACTGAATAACACTGGGTTCTTTTTCTGTAAAGAAACAGCATTGTTGGCTACCCACACCACCCACGCCACAGCCAATAGACCACTCTAAATATGGCCATTCTGTTAGCTCTGTTCCTTTAGAGGACCCTGACTACCACTGGGATTTTTTTTTAAACTCTATTACTCTTTCTCTTTTGGCTCTTAGTTCTTTTGACTCTTTTGGGGGCCCACTGAGTTCCCAAATAAATCACACACAGAGAGGCTTATTATTTCTTACAAACACCCAGCCTTAGCTTGGCTTGTTTCTTGCCAGCTTTCCTTAACTTAAATTATCCCATCTACCCTTTGACCCCTGGGCTTTTCCTTTTCTTATTTCTGTATATCTTACTTTCACTCTTACTCCATGGCTGGCTGGGTAGCTGGGCGGCTGGGTACCTGGCCTCTGGCATCCTCCTCTCCGTGTTCTCTCTTGCTACTCCTTCCCCTTCTAGATTTTTCCTTCTATTTATTCTCTCTGCCTGCCAACTCTGCCTATTCTTTCTCCTGCATTGCTATTGGCTGTTTACTTTTTTATTAGACCGATCAGGTATTTTAGACAGGTTTTTTTTTTATTATTTTATTAGTTCTAGTTAGGGAACAAGCTTATTTCAAGTCCCTTCTCCCTCTCCTTCCCCTCACCCCCAAACTTCCTCCCCCACC